GGAATGTTATTTTGCACTCGATGATGTCCGCGTATTTATAGATTATAGATCGGTTACCAGTCAAACACGAAAGTTACGTAATGGAAATCTCTTTGGCAACAATACATCGGAATGCCCTCACGGTCATCGCGATGTAAAAAACATTTTACAACATAATAAGCTAAAAAAAACGGCAAGCTTTTTAGAAAAGCTATTACTTGTATTACCAATAATTAACAAGTTCCGGGTCGAATCCACTACCGATACCAGTAGTATATGTCTTCTTCTTCTCTTGGTAAATTCATCCGTTGTCGGAGCACCTTTGTCACACGGGTATTAAAAGACCTTTCTTAATTTTAATACTACTTATTTAAAAATAAAACATTAAGAACTTAAATACTAAAACCAAAAGGGTATATGCATTCCTTCATGGCATATTATCGTCCTAAAAATGTACAGAAATGCAAAAACCGTAATTGAATACTATTAACATCTATAGTGCAAATAAATTAAAATCCAGACTATAAATAAGGCGTACTGTAGGTCACGGATCCGCGATGTCGCGGGCGTGTTTTATTTAACTATAATCTCTTGAAAGCACTTAATGAATAACAATACACAATCTTTCTCAAATAAAAAAAAACAATACAATAGTCAACACTAAACAGGATGCCTAGAAAAAAAAACATACATAAATGACGATAAGTTCAAATTACTTACATGTATGTGATATCAGTGCAGAAAGATGTCTCCAAACACCATGTCCAAAGAAAATGTACTTCGAAAAAGAATTCTGATATTGATCTTTAAATCACAACAATTGTTTTGAGTCCTTCTTCCTTTATAAGTTTTGCATGTTGTAACGAGACAGAACAATCCTCAAGGGGCTATAGAATTTCAAGACATCAATAAAAGCCTTACAATTTTCTGTCCTCTGTAGTAAATTGATCTATGATAGTATCAGTGTAATTACACTCAAATCAGTTTTACAGTAATTAGATACATGCTGGAAAAAAACAAAACGGTATTGTCACGTTAACATCTTTAATTTTTACCATGAGGACTCAAATTGGAGAGTATATATATCTAATTATGATTTAATTTTACTTCACCCCTGGACGTGTTTTGAACTTGATTGCATTGCTAATTCTTCTGTGATTTAAAATGAGGACGAACAATACCATACTATTGACATGTTATGCCGTTAGAACTGACCATGGACTTGATTTAGTATACAACATATTATCTCCTTTAATCATCGTATTTTACATTCCCTGGATGAAATGAATAATTGATGGACCAGATAGTGGAATACAATTACAATCTTTATAAATCAGAGGAAATAGTATGACAGTTAACAGATGCTGACAATTCAAGGAACGAGATCCCGTCGAGGTGTTTCAGCCCTGTGAGGACAGACTGACATTCTCTGACACAGAACACAACAACGTAGGTGGCTTTATTGTTGCTTAAAGCCTTTGTTATGGAATGCCTCCCTGTATTAGACCGATAAAAATACGAGTAGTTACTAATCATCAAGCAGTTTAATTTGGATGAGTTAGATAGATGTGTTACGATATGGGATTAGTAGTTTTACAACATGAACTTGTGACACGTATCATCGCATTTACGATTGCAGAAGGTACCGAAAGGATATTCAAAACCCGTAAGTGAAAGAGATACTGACAACACTACGGCAAATAAGAAAACGAACAAAAAGACAAACAAGTTTACAAAACACTATATAGATCGTTAAATAATGAGCAAAATGAACCAACAACTGGGCGTTACCTCAGGTGCTCCGGAAGGGTAAGCAGATCTTGCTCTTTATGTGGCACCCTTACGGTGAACTTGCGATAAGTATTATCGTATGAATTGTGATTAGTATCGTATTTCTCCTCAGTATTTCACCATTTATTTTATCTATACAAGGATCTGCATTTTTCAAAAGTCTCATAAAGATTTTTTATTTTGCACGAAGGGGATTTGGATCTTCGTTTTTTTATTTGCACATACAAGTTTAACTAGACCTCTATATTATTTGTCCATGAATAGTACACTGAGACAAAAGTAGTTTACCGATATTAAAATCTCATCAACAGATTAAGAAGATACAATGTATAACAAACAAAAGCTGAGGGAATCGCATGAACTTTAGAAGGAGTCAGACTGGGTGCGCCGACAGCGTAAGCGTCTCCTGCTATACATGCATCCTTCACCATGTGATTCTACACTCAAAGTGTTTCAATCAGGAATAGGACAACAACTATGACTACGATGCAAATTATATCTTCTATTGTATGACACCTCATCAGCAGATATGATTGACAAGCATATTTTAAAAAGGGTAACAAGAAGGGCATCACTAGTGGAGCAGGAACTTCTTATCCTTCCGGAGCACTTGACTTCTCTAGCCTGATTCATCTAGACTCTATTTTGTCTAGAATGCACCGAGTCCGGTCTATATTCAATTTTCTAATGTTTTTTGTCATCTACTTTCATAGACCTTTTGGAGACCACAATGCGAATGATTTTTTCGTACAAGGAGGCTTATTGAAACCAGTGCTCGCTGTAGTTTAGGACATTTGCTTCAAGTTCGGCGGTCTTGGTGAAGCCACAAGGAAAGGTAGAATAAAAGGTCGCTTTCCAGACTTGTGGATTGGTTGTGGACGACATTCATATGTCGGATCTAGAGATTATAGCATCTGGTAGTATAAATCTGACAAATGAGCAAAATGAAGAAATATTTAGATAAGTTTTTGATTATATAAAAAAGACCAAAACGTTTCTTGTTTAATCATGTGTATATATAAGCTGAATGTAATGATCCACACACACACACACACATGCATATTTTTTTTCTTCTTCCTATCTTTCCTTTTTTATACTGTTTCTTAATGTGTCCCTTAAATTACAGATGTTTTATAATTATATATTGTGTAATAATATATTTGATATTTGCATGCTATGAAATTCTATTGATTAATATTGTATCATGGCTTAGGAGAAGACGATCTAAATTGGACTAACTTGTGTCTAAGCCTTTTTGTGATTTTTTTTTTATTTTTGCAAATAAAATATGTTTAAACTAAACTAAGACGACATTCAAAAGCAATATAAAATTAATTTTAGATTGTTTAAATGTTTGAGTATGATGAAAGAAAAGAGTCCAAGCGAATAGCAGAAGTGGCAACACAGAAGAACAGTAGTCCATCTGACAATATCCTTACAAGACAAAAAAGTATAAACTTAGAAAACATTTGCACAAATAAGTAAGTCCAGCTGTGCACAACTAGTGTTTTGTATTAATGTTTTGCCAGGTAAGCTCGGCAAAGTCAAATGCAGATGTCTGCATACATTAACACATAACAAATACGGTTTCCTGTGAGACTTGAACACTTAAAGTAAAACGGATGGAATACAAGCTCTGTCCCAAAGATTTAACATGTCTTGCTTAGGTTTATGATTGGTTGCAATGAGAATTGTCAATACCAATTCCTTTTCAAACAGTCTTGTTTCTAAGACTTTCAATGAACAGATACAAGAACGATTTTGTGTGCTTTTTCAGTTGGTAGAAAGTCAAATATTATGCGTTAATGGGGTCATTGAAAACACATTTAACATGTGTGCTAATTAACTCAAATGAAAACTTAACCTCTCTCATTTTGATCATTGTTTGATAAGTCATAAGACTTCTAGTTTTGTCTACTGCCTAACCAGCAGCGACTGTTTGAACTGTCCAATAACTGGCATGCAATAAGACAAGAATCTATGTTGTACACACGAAAACCTCAAAATTTTAATGTGTCAACAGAGAAGCGGCAGATACCAAAGGGATATTCAAACTAATAAGTCGATGACAAGCTGACAACACCATGGCAAAAACACACAAAACAACAAAACACACAAAACACACAAAACGACAAAACACACAAAACGACAAAACACACAAAACACACAAAACAACAAAACACACAAAACGACAAAACACACAAAACACACACAAAACGACAAAACACACAAAACAACAAAACACACAAAACACACAAAACACACAAAACAACAAAACACACAAAAAGACAACCAACATTATACAAAACACATCATAGGAAAATAACGACTGAACAACATGAACCCCACCAAAAAACAGGGGTGATTTCAGGTGCTTCTGAAGGGTAAGTAGCTGCGGAACCGTAGCTCTTACATGTAGGTCCTTATGTTATTTTTTGACTATTTGCGGACTCTATGGTCCGCAAAATAAAAAAAATATATAAAAAGGACCATAAGAGTTACGGTTCCGCAGCTAAAGGGTAAGCAGATCCTGCTCCACATATGACACCCATTCGAGTAAATACAAAATACGTTTATTGAGTTATATCAAGTGATATTGAACCACGTCAAATTAATTTCACAATATATTTCTGGTTTTATTATAATCCCGTATGCAAAATTTTAAGGACCCTTTATTTCGACTAACAAAGCAATTTTGTAATATTAATGTATTTGAACAGAGCGTTTTTATAACAAAGCTGTTTCAGATTTGTTGTAAGATTAGTTTTTTACCCTTCTATAATATGTCACTCATATCTTGAAGCACAAGATTATAAAGAGCTCTGATCTTGATTCCATAATGATTTGACATGCAATTAATCTACTCATATTTTTGCGATTCTTTACATTTTCCTGGGAATTTGCTTGATTGATTTGCTTTACAAAATCTAATTAAGCTTTTAAGATTGAGTATTTTATAATAAACCACAGTCTGCTGAGAGGTTACTAATTAAAATAATTCTAAGCACCAACATAATCTGTCTAAAAAACTAACGTCTTATTCATCAAACTTTATTGAAGAAAGCTACATTACAGTATTAGGACAATACATTATAAATTACATACAAACACAAAATAATAAATATTCACCTTCAGACAAATTCATCCTACAAGAAAAATACATTGCAAATAAGTTAAATGGATTTCAGTTTAATAAAGCACTATCGTGTGGTATCAAATGAACTATTAGATCAGAACAATATTCTGTTCAAATTTTTCTTCTTTTCACCAGCTGTCCAAGATTTGGACTTAGACCGGAAATGGCGTACATCTTCAGTGTGATCTTTGTGAAACATTGATTTGTAGCTCATTGGTTTGCATAAAATCTGGAAAAAAAGTTGAGATTAAAATATAGGCACAATTAAAAGATGGTAAAATGAACAAATGGAAACATTCGTTGAAAAAAAAATACAGCGAAAGGATTTTGGAATCATAAATACACTCGCCTTTAACTTATAATGTATTTTTATATGATACCCACAACATATTAGTGGTTTAAAGGTGTAAACAATCAAGATTAGTTTTAACCTGTATTTCATGGTCAATGACAATGATTGAAATTTCAAAAAGATCAGGAAACCTTAAGAGTAACATGTGAACGACATCCGGCAAAATATTCTCCAGATCAGATCGGCCAAGAATACAATCGTGTTATTTTTAAAAAAAAAGCTACATCCAGTACACTGTGTAGCCCATTTATTTCTTACAGTTATTTTTATTAAAAATAATCATTTTAATTTTTATAATTATATGTATCATTCGGCTAAATTTGTGTTCAGAGACCTGCTGTCTTCAAAGTTTCGTGCCTTGTTCTTATGTGACGTAGAGACATCATTTAAGCTCTTCAACGTTTTCGGTCCTTATACATACTTGGCTTTCAAATATTCGTCTTTTAGACTTCCTGATGAAAGTAAATCCAGAAAAGCGCTTATTTATAACGTGTTGTTTTCATTTTTTTAAGGTTGTTCTCAGTGTTTCAACAAAACAAAATAATTTACATGTTGGAAAATGAAAAGTCTTCTTTGAAAAAGATTGTATACACTTTGTACTGTCAAAGTAAATAGATATTTACAAACTAACGAAAATTAAAGTTTCAAAATGATTTGTTCGATACTTCTCGTTTTCAGTAGAAAAATCAGAAAAAAAATAGAATAAAATAGGTTTGCAACTGTTTCGGTTCTTATACATCCATGACTTTCCGACAATTTTCGGCTTTCAGCGTTCCTGATGGTTAATCCAGAAAAAGCGATTCGGATGCTTGACCTTTATAAACAGTTGTTTTTATTTTTTTCTGTAAATTGACGGACTAATTTACATTTCCGTTACCATAAATAGGACAATGACATTCTTCTACGGTAAATTAAAGAAACTCGTACGTTATTGCTCTAGAATAGAATTAGCACCCTAGGGAGAAATATGTGTCAAGACAATTACATACTGAGCACAGTATAAGATAAAAAAAGTAAATAGAAATTCCAGATATCGCATTGTTATAATGTACTCTCTACGCATATCCTGTAAGAGATGTAGACAAATAATAGATGACCATCATCTTTACTTCCTAGTGGGTGTCTGGAAGGTGGTAATTGGATATTTTTTTATATTATTCATTTGTAAAAGAACAAAATTAAGATACGAACAAGATAATAATACTTTCATATTATTGAAGGTTTTTTTTTCAATCGACTGTTTATTAGTCTATCCGTTTGCAAGTACAGGCGGGTTTTTTTTTTCAAATTGTGTATATGCATTTAAGTTATAGATAATTCATATTTAATTGTTATTCATGTCGTAAAACACACCGAGGGTGTCGGAATCGTTCAAATGAAAGATCGGATTGTTTCTTCAAAAGAATAACTTATCGTTCTGAAAGGAAATAACTCCCTATAGGTATATATAACGAGGTTTCGGATGGGGTTTACAGAATAGAGAATAATGAACAAAAAGTCAGAATAAAGGACAAATAAATAAAGAATAGAGAAAAATGGACCAAAAAAATGAAGAAAAGAGATTAATAGGGTGCATTAATATAAAGAATAGAGAATAATGGGCGAAAAATATAAAGAATATAGAAAAATGGCCTAAAAATTAAAGAATGCAGAAATGAAGAACCCCATCCAGACTCGTTATAATGACAAATAAAACACAATTAGAAGATGGACATTAACTTTATAAATATTACTGAAAAATAAATGTGTATGACCCTAACCTTTGATTTATTAAACATTTTATGTAAAAAGCGCTATCAATCCATTAAATATGATGAATATACAAATTAAAGTAATTTGTAAAAACTAAAGACGAATCAGTAAAAAAAAAATACGAAATGTAGTATTTGGCCAGCATGGTCAAAAGAATAAACAATCACGGCAGACTTTATTTCAAAATATAAAAACTAAAAAAACTAACGAACCTGCCTAACTGATGATAGCAGTTTTGACCATTGTGAGGTGTTCGTCTTGTTATGGGGATAATACACCCAGTATCGCGATCGATATCAAGGAATAAAACTTTTTAAGGAATCTTACCATGTGATCTTGATAGAAAGCTTTGTAACCACCTTCAAGAAGATATACCTCTGGATAAGTCAGATGTGGATAGTTTTCAGCATTTAGTTCTCGGTCTTTGTTTCTTAGAAACCTGCATCTGAAAAGCAGATACCACTCGTAATTAAATTCAAATACATGTGCATAAACGAAGGTCATCTTAATGGGCCAATCTGGTCCTGGTTTTAGTGCATTGGTATTGGTATTATTAAAGTGATACATCCATAGAATTATGTGATAGAGCTAAAACTAAGATTGCCCTAAAAACAAAGTGATCTGATGTTATACATTACAACCCGCTTGCGCTAACTTTTGATTAATTTGTTTTCATAGCATGGTTTGTAACAAATAAGGTGGTTATGTTGTTATCATCATATTCGTGCATTATCTTTCATTTACTGTATTTTAGATATATTCGTAAAATTAAACATGTCTTTGTGCACTTACGCATTCCTTGTTAAAAGTGACAAAAGCAGTTTCTTTTTCTATTTATCTGTTGTGTGAGTTCAAGAAATATGGGGTTTCTTTTTATCAGAGTACTTTTAATGATATTTCATAAACACTGTTTTAATTTGGTTTTAATGTATAATAATTCCCAAAATGAATGGAGATGTTTTCTATGTTCACGTAATTAAACAAACTTTCACGACCCTGTCTAGTTATACGGCTAATAAGGCTTCAACAATAAAACAACCTTAATATTTGTAATGTTTATAGAGAGCTAATTACTCGACGAAGGTGGTTGATTTTCTAGTAATTATAGTTCAGCTTCATTTTCACAAATTTTCTTTTGATTTTTTATGAACAAAAATGTATTTTCTCTAATATTTGCCAAGTTAAGTTTCGTTCTTATTTATTTATTTCCGCCGTAACGATAGTTTATGATAGTTTTTATTGTATCTACCCGATTTCCTTCGACCGACTTTATCTCCCCATCCCCTTTTCAGTATCTCTGTTTGTTTTTAACATCCTAAATATATTATATTTCATAGCCTACTGGGCAGAATATTCAATTTGGTTTAATTTTACATCTGACGAAAATAGTTTCACTGTTATCTATATACAAAATCATTTGGGTTTCGAAATCCCATAGTTTATAGCATATACGAAACGCACCCAGTCTTCCTATTTTATCTCATTTATTTACAATGCAAGGTTTTTCTCCCATAATATTTCAAGGTAATTCAACAGTAACACTAGACATAAAACCATTAAGCATCAAACAGAATTAAATAAAAAATATGTTTACTTTGAATGATAAATGTGGGTCTCAAAGTTCTTTTAGTCATTACCAATTCTCCTGTGTGGTATAATTCTTATCCTTCCCCGTAACATTACCCCTGAAATTTATTTGAAAATGTGTAGTTTTTGTTTTGCCATTATTCAAATAGTTACATTAATTTGGTTCAAGATAGTTTAGCAATACACATGAGAAAATATAAGCCTTTTAACCCAAAATGATAAATGGGATAAAAGAAACTTGCCTGATTTATAAATTTTAAAAGGGATATGGTCTACAAGATTCACGATTAATATAAAAAAATGTTGAAAAACGGCAAAAAAAAACAAGGCTCATGGCTTCATTAAACAGCTAGTTTTTTTTATCATTATTATTTCTATTTTACTTTAATTTATTTTTCATTACTTTTACATAAAAAATAATTGTTTGCTGAAATTTAATAAACTTTATCAGTTTAACAAAAGTACTTATCTATTTTAAGTGAACATTCCATGGCATCTAAGAGTGGTTCTACAGTTTTGGCTTATAATTATGTCATTCAGGCAATTGATTTATTACTAGTATACAATTTTATAGGAAAAGACATTACTGTGTTAGACAAAAACGGCAGTCATTGAAGGATGCCTATATGGGAACTGTTGTTGGCATTTCAGGAACCGTCTGCAAAGTGTCTAGAATGATATACTCCTCGTTCAGTTTAGAATTATAAAGACTTAGTAATTTGAAGAGGTTAAAAAACACAAAAAGATAGTATAAAAAAAATCTTACAGTTTTGGTCCTCTTTCTGATGAGAATTCACAATGGAAGATCAAAATATTTGATTTTTCCTCAGAATTGTGCGTTGTCACATTTCTCTGTTCCAACAGCTCTGTTACTGCGTCTTGTGTGTATAAATTTTCCGCGCCCTGCAATAATAAAAATGAAGTTTTTACTTGTATGTTAGCTAAGATATCATTGCAATCATATTTATAATTTGTATTTCATATCTCTAACAAACAGTATGTATTAATAAAAAGAGATGAGGGTTTTTCATCAAAGTATATTTATGTTTTATTTGTAGCATTATGACTTAGCTATCCATTCTTGATATTCATCTGTGTGAAGATTACATCTTAACTACGGAAAGACAAAAGCCGTGGGTTCGAGACTAGTTGTTCGCACAAATGTAAGGGCGTACGCTTGTTACAGATATTAGGCTAATTTTGTAGGGTCATGGTTTTTCCCCAATACTCCGGTTTCTTTTTCAAAGAAGGAATACCTCCAATAAATTGTATAAAAATATCGCAATTGGAATTAAACAACATCAGGATGTTTATAATATGATATTCTAACTCTTATTGCCAATATTACAAGTGTGGACACAGATCAGTGTGGATTATTTTATTCGTGTAAGTATGTTTTTACCAATATTTCTAATAAGTTAAATAATAAACAACATAACTATTTCATGTTGCTAAGACTAAACTCTTTCAGCTTAACTTCAAAATCATTTGCAACGCCTCTTACTTTTGCCTTTCAATTAAATGATAAGAGTTTAAGCCATACCTTAATATGTCCACCATCATATTCAAATGGATATCTGCAGTCGATGATTCTGTAACTACCAATTGTGTCGTCAAATTTTCCTGATACTAAATCGGCAACCTAGATATAAAAGTTGACACAATGATGTTTGTTTGTATATAAGTTTTTGATAAATAATTTAGGTACTAATTAAATAAGATAGTATCTATTATCTATGACTATTACCAAATTTAAAAAGACAAAAAAATGACAACTTAAAAAAGACAAAGCAGCACATAGACCTCATTTTCTTCGTTTTACCGAATTTGTTGTACAGTTGTTTAATTTTTGTAAAATACTAAATTTTTGGTTTATTCGGAAACGTTTTGTAAAAATATGAGTTACTCAACATGAAGGTAGTATAGTCACAGACACTTGTCTCTGAAATAAATACCTGTATACTTTAATATAACATGTGTTATACTAAATATGAGTATAAAGATATTTATAGGGGACGGTAACTTTGAAATTGCAAGACCCCCCCCCCCCCCCCCCCACTGAATCGTGGCGAGTACGTTGGCAAAGATAAAGTGTTCAAGTTATCAATACATACGTTCATTTATGTGTTCTTGCTATTGTCCTTGAATCTCAAAAGACAGGATACACGACAAAAAATAAAAACATGTAATACTCACTGTTTCTGGGGTGATACTTTTCAAATCTTTGTTTTTGCCATGCATTGTAGGTAAACAATATGATCGACTGCCATCAGCAACAAGGTGCTCCACTTCAAATAATTTATTTACAACATCAGTTGATATATTTACATTGTTCTGGGGTGTGTCCTACAACAAAATTAAAACAAATTACAAAAATGTGAACAAATAAGTTGAAGCATTTTTTCGTATGCTGTGGTTTATCGTCTTTATATCGGCCTTCAATATGCACATGTGAAAAAAATCTCAAAAATTATTTGCAATTATACTTTAAGAACTCTTGCACTAAAAAGAATTCATTTATTCAAATCAACTTTTCAATAATTTGACTTACGACAGTAGCAGATAGCATATACAATTATTTCCTATTTCGATATTTCTCATATTTGATATTCCTTCAAAATAGAATGTTACAAAAAAAGGCTTCTTACCCCGAACGATAGGGATTTCTTCAAAATTCTTTGAGGTCTTGGTCTGCACGGTCTTTTGCTTGGCAGTTTGGGAGTGTCTGTGTCGAGAAGGCGTTTTTGGTGAAATAACGATCTCTTGGCATGTTTCGAATCTCCACTTTTTAATTTCGTCAGCTTACCTTGTAACTAAACAAAGAATATATAATATATGATAGTATCGTCGTCTTAATACTGGTTAGTTCATATTTATTTCATGTCTGATTCGAATGATCGAAAAAAATTCACCCTGAAAGACCACTGACCGCTAAGGGACGATTAAATTTTTTTACAATGGCATAGTTTTATATGTATACGTGATTTCACGCTCTTACCAATCTCCTGTTATATATATATATTGGTTTCAGATAATGCAATTGAAATGAAATTATTCGTCTTTAAGATTTTAACTTGACTACCAATGCTGATATAGTTGGACTAATTGTGACTAACACATTCATTTATTACTTAAAATAATTACACACAGAAGCTACTCTCGTATGTGAACTGTTAGGTGGACCCTTATACAAAGTCCATAATTAAAAAGAATTAAAGCAAAACAAACATACCTCGGATAAGCTTGTGTCGTGTTTATCTTCATCGAAAATGGTTAATAATCCTCCGAAACTACTGCACAGATATGGACTCTCATTTGACTGAAAAGGAAACAAATGATATTACAGCATTCAGCTTTAATTCTTTGAAGACCAATCTACTCTCAATTAATGGCAAACCTATTTCATGATTTACCGATTTGTGAATGACAAGTTGAATGCATTCAGTCCAGAGCCTTTATATACAGATTGTATTGAGAGAAAAACAAATGTTGTTTTGCGGAATTTTGTCGCAAATGCAAATTTGCTACTCACAGTGCTCAGCGGAATAATAAGACAATAAATTTTAACATTTATATTTGGTTATGATTGATATAATGATATATGGTACATTGTTATCGTGGTGAATTTTGTTTCAATGAAATAAAATGTTTTTTTTATCAACATTTAGTCAATTCTTTTAAAATAATTGTCTTACTCATATAAACTTAATCATGTTTAACTAATTTCCTTATGTTTTCTCGCATATGAACAGTGGTTTCTTTGTACCACGCTTCTCACATAGTTGAGATATGTCGTTTAAACAAAATAGAAGTTCTTGCGTAAAACATTTTAGGATCTTCCATATTCCTGAGAGAAAGTCTTGGATATCAATACATTTAGAATTTCCTTTAACCAGACAGAAACGTACCTGCATGGTCTCTTCCATACCCAGTCCTGAATCTTCGTCACACAAAATGACAGAACTTTTCAATGTTGTCTCTTTCTGTGTTACAGCATCCTGCGAACACGCAGTGGTATCGTCTAACGATTTTTTTCTTCCAAATAGTGATTTTCTAGACATCGTTTAACCTGTTAGATCAAATTATCGTATGAAAACTTTTGCTTAATACTTATAGATATATATTGTACGAAAAGATAAAATCAGAACAACTTAATCCATGTATTGGATACTGGCATGTTTTGACAGTTTCTGGAAGCAATATGTTTTTTGTGTTTTACACCAAATTAAGTGACGATATAATCAAGGATTCGTGTTTTGCAACAATTATAGTGTACCCTTGCCATAAAATACATGTTTTAACCCGTTTTACCATTTCTACAAGTAAATTTACATGTCATAAAGTTGTATAAAGACGTCTTGTGGGAATGCCATTTTTTTTGTAAATTTTGACACTGATAGTCTTATTATGTGATATTCCAGTATAATAATTTGACGTGCATGTTTGGTATACCAAAATACCTAAAAAAATACTGTTTTTTTCTTCTTGAAAACATAATAAAAGTATAGTTTTTCTGGTTCATTTTATCGTTAAAATTCTTTCGACCGAAAGAACAACCCAAGAATTCAGAAGAAATGGATTTGATTCTTTTTTTAGAAGATAAAATTTAATTGTAGCCTGCGTATTCTTAATTTTAACGCAGAGATGGACATACTAATACGATGCCAATGTCTAACATGTACAAATAAGCGGAAGATGAGACTGGTATAACTGTGTTAAGCAGTTGTTCTGTTTTTCAAGTTTACCAGTCGGGCAATAAAGGCATTCGGTTCCTTCATACTCTTTGAAATCATTTTGGTCCTGTATGTAAATGTGAGCGTATGAAAACTAAGCCATATTAATGATACATTATAGCCTGATAGGCCTAATTACCTAATTGGAATATTAGTCTAAATTAACATTTTACATGTCATGCTTTTTGAAGCAGAAAAATAATTTTCAAGTTTTTAATTTTTTTAAATTTAATTAATTTCGTTAAAAGAACGATGTTTTACAAACTTTCCACGAAAAAATAGAGAAATTCAGATGTAAAAGGCAATTAAAAAATAACTTTAATTCAAATGACGTGTGAGTTTTTACATGAAAAGCAAACGTCTCAAAATCAGAATTTTTAAACCATAAAAAAAAGTATTAAAAAAATGTGAAAACGTAAAGAAAGAAATAATATATATTACCTTGGTAGATACTTTTTGAAACTGAAAATATGAATATTTTGTTTTGTAAACTTGGGTTATATATAGAAAGTCTAAAATGTCATGCTCTATAATTAGTAGTAATTAAATATTGTACTCTGCGATTCAGAACTCAGCTCCAAGCATTTTTATTTTGAGTAGGAAGTCTTTCTCACCTCGTTTGTTGTAAAAACAACAAAATCGTGTTAGGAAATACAATGATTGCAATTAATTTCATTTTAAAACTAGAAATACTAAGTGACCTATTGACAAGGTTTTTGTCGCTTAAAAACATATTCAGCAATTATATTTATTTTAAATGGGAGTAAAGATATATTTTAGAATACTTTTTTTTTTTCTATTATATTTTAACAAATTATTTAAATTTTTCTGTTAAACTCCAAGGGTTTTGACTTCTTTGTTATCTGGGACTATTATACTATATTAGTCCCAGTTGTTATTTATGTGTATGCGTAATCATTTTCGTCATTACAGAGTATGGAATTGCTATCAACACAACTCATTTCAGAAATTGATTTCTATGACTAGTAACATGTTTAAATTACAAAATATCACTCACAATTTAAATTTATATATTTCAAATTTTTACTGTAAAAAAATATGTTTATAACTTTAAAATATTTCTTTATAATTGTGATTGAAAAGATCGATTGACAATAATGCAATAAACTTTCTTGTTTTGATAGTCATTTCAACAATATTTAAAACAAATTAGATATAGAATATCATGACAATGAAATTTCCAAAATGTAAGTCGAACTTATTTTTATATTTGTGTACATGTCTACTTATATGAGTCAGTGTCCACTCCTCATAAGGAGAATGTATTGGGTGGTAAACATTTTTTGACCACGCCTGCTGGTTTTTTTCTTTTTACAGAAAATGAAGTACATAATTGTTAAATTCTATGGCCAAAACCGATTTCAAACTTGCCACTCAATTTCATAAAATCATCATTAGTACGCTAGTATTAGCTTGTGTTTTCATCACTATTGATCATCGTTATAAAAGTTGCATGTGAACATAACCATCCTTTTGTCAGTTTCAGAGTTCGGGAGGGGAAACAACTTTTCGTTCGTACCTCCTTCCTTGGTTATCTTTTGCATTTGTAAAGCCCGGTTCATAAAGCAATTTCATTTTTCACCGAAAGGATCTTTGACATTTGGAAGTTCGTTTGGATGTATCAAAAAAGAATCATGGATCAACTGTTCGGGTTGGAAAAACAGGCAAGTTGCTAAATTGTTCTTAAAAGCGTGGTTCTAAGAGTCAGAACATGTATTCCAGTGGTATGTTTTTTAAATGATATATAAGATTCGGTATTATCATGAGTAAAAGGTTATACGTCAATGAAATAGCAACCCAAAGACACAAAAAACCGAAAAGACATCTAAAAGTCAAAATACACTCAATAAAAGATATTATGTTGCTTAGTTCGAAGCAGGAATCGTAACCAAATCTTGCTACTTCTAGATTCTTTGAACTAGCATATCATGTTAACTGAGAGATACAAACTCCAGATGATTGTGATATAGAATGTGTTATAATGGCAACATTGGAATTTCCTCTTCTGTCGTAAAGTTTTGTTTTAATGATTCTGCAGAGTATGTTAAGGTCTTAAGTACAGTAACAGTGATATAATTTATTTCAATCCAATTGGATAGTTTGACAGGTTTGAGTCATTTGAACGTGAAGCATTAAACGATTTTGATTGAGGCTGCTTACTGATATGTTGAATCGTTGTAAGAAACACTTGCATATGTAGTCTGGGAATTTCGGATCATATATTTTTCACAACGGAATAATAAAAAACATGTACATCAAATATCACAAATGAGTTATTGATTAAACACTTAAACATTTTGGTATCGGACATATAAACGTTTTTTGTAAGAAATAGTTATTTTTTAATCGTCAATAAATTAACTTCAATTCAAAGCTATGGAATAATAACGATTGTGTCTTATTAAGCTATTCTTATTTCTACTTACAAATGGCAACTGTATTTTTTTTAAGTATCTGATAGAGTCGATTACTCCCGTCCGACCGTAAGAACCGTGTTGAGAAGGGACGTCCGTTTGGCTATATGAGAATAAATACGCATCACCTTACAGTCAAAATATTGAGGACAAATCCGATGCCTTGTATAGGGGGAGAGTGTCGTGCTCTGTGAACGTTTAAGAACTCTTACAACAACTATTGGAAGAGTCCGTTGGTGGCCTTTGTTTCAATGAGAAAGCTATTCTCGTATCAAACATACCCCTTTATTCAGTGGCAGTTAGAATTTAACGCCCTCATCCCTGTGGACCATCTTTGCAAAATCTATCAATGTATATATAATGTTCTCGGTCCAAATATGCATGAACTATTTGCCAGTGGACGTTAAGAAAAATGAGAAATCAATCAACAAAATGAGTCATTTGCATTGCCCTTGTCTCCAGATTCCCAATTTTTAGACTTACATAGAAGACAAGAAAAAGAGATTTTAAAGAAAGAACTTTCCCAGAATAGAAATACTATGCCTCTACTAAAAAAACATCAGATTTAAGTCGATATTTTGTTGTTTATTAAATGTTATAAATGTTCTCTCCTGCACAATGAGATAATATAAATCTTTTAGATTGACCGATTAGTTCAAAGACTTAACTGAACCTATCTTTCATAGTGCAAAAAGCAAGTTTGATTACCATGAAGTGAGAAAAATACCGTTTCTGGAATACATTAAAAAACAAGTTCTCGTTATAATATCTTGAAAAGTACCTGGCAGCAAACTTCTCGTCATATTGCTTAATACTGTTTAGGCAGTCATCGAGGATTTTCTTGTCAATTTCTGTCCAATGGTTCATATTTTGTCTCCCCATTGGCTGTTAAGTACTAAGTTGACAACACTTAGTCAATGCCTAAACTAGTAACTTGTAGTTGGTTCAATTAGTGGTTTCCGTTATAAAAAATAATATCAAAACATTAGATGTAAACATGTAATGTCATATGACAGATGATTTTATAATTTTTGTCAGTATATTGTCATGACCTCACTTTGAAAATTTTAACTATATTTCAATGGGTCATAATATGATGATGTTTATAAAGAAATGTGTCAAATGACTGTTTGTCAATCAAGATGGCCACAATATGTATAAATTACAGAAAAAAATGATGAAACCAAGTCTGGGGAAAAAATCAAGATTTATCAACAATTAATGATTTGTTTTGCAGAAACAATACCTATTGGAACCAAATGTGAACAAACTATTGCAAACGTATTACAGCACAATTTTCTGAAACCTTTAACTTAGGTTTGACTAGATAGAACCAAAGATTGACCACTTATTCTTCAGTATAACTGAATTCAAAACTGACATAAAGATGACTGCTAATGCTGAGCAAAGTTCAGTATGGGTCCAGTTAAGCTAAAACATTGGTATTTGATGTTTTATTGTCAAGCAATGGATTTCGAAGAGCAGAATGATTGGCTTAGGGTGACAAGTCTCGCTGCCGACTGTTACCTTGTGAAATAGCACATCAGTCTAGTACAAAGCATGTTAAATTAACATCTGATATCCTGAGTGTGAGTGTAATATTTACAACTGAACATCCATGTAAACTTATTGACACTTTGAATAAACTTATTCTTATTATGTACTAATATCGATTTTGGTTTTGACCAATTAAAACATCATCTAAATATGTATAGCTTTATAGCTGTGAATACTTATGGTTCTACATTCTGTCGATTCTTATATTTTGGCATAGCACAAGGTCATGCTTTTCTCAGACTGTTTATGACGTCTTTATAATAAATCTGTTAATTCTTTACTATATGTTAATTTTGTCTGGGAAAACATGGTTGATATATCACTGGTACTTGTAGTTAGCTTTTAACTAGCCATCATAACTGTGAGTACTCGAAGATCCATACTATTTTTGTCTTTTTGTAATGGATTTTTTTTGTGCTAAGTGACAACCTGACCAGTCAAGCCATTAACAACTGATTTTACAAATTACTCCTTTGTTGTGCTGTTAAACAACTGTACAAGGTTAGGGGAGGGTGGAAACATGTGTAACCCTGTCACATTCTTTATGTACCTGTCCCAATTAAAAAACCTGTAATACAGTGGTTGTCGTTTGTTGATTCTCCCATATTTGTTTTCTGTTTATTGTTTTAGCATAAATCAGGCTGTTGGTTTCCCATTTGAATTGTACCCCATTTTGATATGTCAGTTCTTTTATAGCTTACTATACAGCATGTTTTATTTATTGTTGAAGGTCATAAAGTAACATACAGTTCACTGTTGTATAGGTCCTCATCCTTTGGTCTATGGTGGATAGTTGTCTCATTGATAATCATTCCACATCTCCTTTTTTTATATTAAGAAGACTTCAATTAATCAACCAAACACTTCTGAAGACCACAATGCAAATTTCACAACCATGACATTTGTGTCTTTCTTTTTTAGGAGTACTTTATTTTTCCTATGGGCTATATACCATCTAGTCCTCCTTCCATCATATTTTTAATGTGCATGTTTCATTACAATTTAGTTGTATACAGAGAAATTAAAGTAATTGTAACAAGAAAAGAAACATTTGAATACAATATTCAACTTTATTTGTTTTTCGTTGATCATTCACTCATACCTTTTACACAACATTTCCATTTAAACAGATATATACAAAATATAACAACTACACATAATCACAGATTTAATATGATGTTTTACAAGAATATATTACTCCTTTTAGCATGTTCTTCTTTAATCAAGCACACTGTAAAAATGAAATCCTTACAAACTGAATGATAGCTGAGAAGTATCAACATTGTATTTATCAGTAAGAGAATATTCAAGAAAAAACCGTCATTTGACCTATATATATATTATCTGATCAGTTTAACACGCTTATATTTTTTATAGTTTATGGACATGTTCAGTATTACATAAAAAAAAACTCTATGTATGTTCATCAGATTTCTGCATAATAAAATAACAAATATTATTTCTTATAATTATATTAAAACTTCTTAGCAAGTGACAACAATAAAAGAACAATAAATAAAAGCTTTTAATAATCATAGAAACAATCCTAATTAGCTGAAATTTCAATGTAGTAAAATCGGATTGAATAGAATTGAAATTCTGTTGAATAAAAATATAAGCTGAATTTCATTAGAATTATCCTGTCTATAATGGGCACTAAAATTGATTGCTAGAATTGCATGATGGGAACTTATAAGAATGCTCTGCTAGGATAGCATTTTGATAAGAAAGAAAAAAACAGCAACAGGATACTCAAAAATATATATCCAAAAATTCAGAAAAAAATCACTCTGAAAATTCATAATTATACATTATATTCATTCCTCTTCCTAAATGAGAAAACATTGATAGCTTAGATTAGCTGTATCAGGTTAAAACTAAGGACTCTCTATTCAAAAGTTCTTTTATACTCAGAAACATTATTAAATGACATGTATACAGATAATGAATGCATTGTTTCCCTTTACACTGGAATGTTATTTTTACAACCGGTTTAGTATAAACTTCAATTACAGCTCACTTCACATCTTTTACTTGTAACTGAATACTGATATACAAAGCCATCTGAATGCACATTATGTCAGGTTGTTTATCTTAAACCTTTCACAGAAAAGTTTGTTCAATCTTTTTCACATCCACCAACAATAAATATATGCATCAAATATAAAAATCAATTTAAATAAAATTAAAATTTCAAAAATAATTTATTCTATACATAAACAGCACTTATTTAACCAAATACTGAATTCACTATGAATTATCCTCCACCAAACATAGTAAGGCTAATACTGAGAAATTCTAAACAAGGTTTACACAAAATTATTGGTATTCCACATGTTAGAATTTCCCATATATTCACCTATTTTTGTGACAGAAAGGCCATGCCATTGGACCCTTCACATTTTAACTGTCCAGGCATATTCAAATTCCCCAAAAATTAATTTTATCACAGTCAAATTTAAGTAGTATAAAAATAATGGTACTGTGAAAACTATAGAATCTATATTAAAAACAAATTCCTTGTTGACAAGAATTTTCAAGATGCAGTTTTATCAGTACTCTTAAGATGTGCGGCATTGTTTCAAGACACATGATATAAATTATAACAGGCAATGCCAATGTACCACTGTAAAATGAGTGCTAAATTCTGTTATCCAGAAGTGATGTGAATAAATGTAGATCAGTAACTATTATGCCCATTTGATATGTTTCTAATGAAAGTTTTTAAACTTTAGGTAATTGAATGACAAATTGATTGAACATATTGAATAAGAAATCTGCTTAAAACTTTCGGCGATTTTATGATGGAATGCAAGGTTTGAAAACTGTTGACCACTAGACTGATGCCAGAGTCTGCTATAATCAGTAGCAAAAAGGTAAAATGGTATATACTATATGTCATCAGCTCAATCAATCAGTTGAAAAATTGCCTTACGGAAAGTAAAAGTTCTACAAAATTTCTTTCTGAGGGCCCTCCAGCTAATATTTTCCAATTTTATAAAGAAACAGGATATCTAATTAACAGAAAGAGAACAAAAGAAACCGTTTTTTATAAGGTTAAATCTGAAATTTCCCTAAAACAAATTCAGTATTTCTACATAAAAAGCATTATATGAATACATCTCTAACTTCTGAAGAACCCAAACTGAAGCTGATATCAACAATAAATATAGCACTTTTAGAGAAAAGCATAAACTTATTAAATGTACAGCTGGTCAAGAACCAAAACTCTAGCATAAAAATTACAAATCTCCAGTTCTAAACCTGGAAACTGTTTTCCTTAAATGAATATTTTACATCTGTTTTATGAAATTACAAATGTTGGTTTAAAAATTAAATCCAGCACTGTAATTTCATTACAAGTGAAAATGTAATTAAATCAAAGATAGGAATGTTATGTCATCAATATTACTTCAAAGCAGAAAAAAAAAGAAAATTTGATTTAATATTGTCAAAATAAAATTCATAATGAGAAATGAAATCATAGAGTTAACAGATTTAGATCACAATAATACAAAATAATGATTTAAGATGACATGGATTCAAGGAACTTAATTGACTTTTAAGATCTGTATCAAAAATTGAAATTTACTTCTGCATCTTCAGTTTTCTTAACAAGTTTTTATCCTAATCAAAAGGAAAGAATGCTGTTATCACTATTTTCAGGAAACTAAGTTTTTATGAACGGAAATTAATTTTGCATAATTTATAATTTGTTTCAAAGTAAATCAGTAATTCTTGTACTTTTACTGAAGGTTAAAGCTTCCTGAAGTGTGTTTTGTTATCATCCTGATCTTTCACATATTCTTTTTTCTTTTCAACAACTAAAAACTATACTTAACACAAATAGACACTATGGATTAAATTATTTTCATGGGTACCAATTTTCGTTTGAGGAAAAATTGTAATTTTGTGGATATTTGATTTCATTGTTATGCAAACCTTTGCTTACAAACCTTTAAAATATTCATACTTTACTGGACAGTTGAATTTGTAGTTTACTGATAGCAACTAATTCCACGAAAATCAGTACCCCATGAATAATAATAAATCCACAGATGCAGAAATCAGCTGATCATAACAGATAACAATTCAGCTGGTTTCATCTTAAAAAAAAAGTCAGGTGACAACAACCAAGTTACAATCTAGAAATGGTCTATAATGCCCAATTTGTCACTAACAATATTAAGAAGTTTACAAAATCAATTAGAAATGGGCAATGAAATTTTCATGGATATTTAAAAATCGTGTGACATAGTGTTGGAACCAGTCCAATGAGATAAAAGAACCAGTTTGATTGACACCTGAGGGTAAGTCACTGAAAACAGATAGATATAACAGTTCTTAACGCATTCAATTTTCACATTTAGTTTATTTAAAGCTTCCAAATGCACTAAAAGCTTGATCAGTCTTCTTTTGGAATGCAGCATTTGCCGACACGTTAGCCGTCATGTTCATACTTCCCATCGTTGTTGTTGACATATTACCCATCATCCCCATGTTAGGCATCCCCATACCTGCGAGAAAAAAAATCATACTATAAATCATGGTACTAATACATTAATGAAAATAAAGAGATACAGTATACTTGTATAAGGTTATGATTTTTTTACCCTCTGCTATTCACTACACAATATACCAGATTTGTATTTTATAAACTTATTTAAATCCGTTAACTAAACCAAAGTCATTACAAATAGAGAGAAAAACTGAAGTACTGGTACTTTCAAAAGTTCATTAGAGCATTTTGAAATTGCAAAAACAAATACTATACATAAAAAAAAAAAAAAAAAAAAAACAGATTTTTTTTCAATTTATCGACTCTCTTCATTGTTATGTAAACATTACATTTTATTTAGTATGACAATTGAGTATGAAATCTTTTGTCCATTTTTTCAGTAATAACCTCTAAATACAATAAGGTAAAGTCTATCTCCAAAACATCTTCGCTAGCCAAGGGTTACGATCTGACCCGCTTCTCTTCACCCTTGGCAGATTAAGTCAGAATTTGTGAACCATGTGGTAATGATTTCCATTAGACGCAGTTGTAAATGTAGAAAATTTAAATAAACAATTGTGCCAAGCGTCTTCACCCCAAAAACATAGGAAGATATTTAGTGACACTTTTGAAGTTCTCATAATCAACTTATTGAAGTTTTTAGGTATAGTCCTCATGCAAATTTTGGAATGTCAACGTACATATACAGTTTCTGCTTTACAAAATTTGTATGGACACAGTTATTTTTACACCTCCGAACTAAAGAGCAAAAGTGCTGTCATTGGTTAATTATAATGAAGTCGGAGAGGGCTTGACTTCTATCTGTTGCTAGATGGCATTACACTGTTAAAACAAATACTGTCTTAATCTGCCAAGGGTGAAAAGAGGCAGGTCGGATTGTAACCCTTGGCTAGCGAAGATGTCTCCACAAGGTCTATATAACAATTAATCTTATAAGCAACTACAGATTTGTTTTGGCTGTCACATCATAATTAAATAAGCCACACAAAAAAAGAACCCAAGTCCAGTATTGTTCATCTTACTGTTACAAAATGGAGATTGTACCATAAATATCTAAGGTTATAACATTAAATAATTCAACAATGAATTTCATGTGGTTGATTTCAATTGTTGACAAAAAAAAACGGCATATAGTAAAGTATACAACTTTACTGTAATTTTTTTCCAATAAAAAAAAATTCAAACCAACAAGTGACTTCAAGTATTCTTTTTGATCATGGTAAACATTTTTTTTTAAATACAGCCATTAATATTTCAAAAACACTAGAAGTACTAAATTATTCATTGATAATTACCAAATTTGAAATGTTAACGTTGTACTAAATTAAACATTTTAGAAAACAACCATTAAAATTCATGAAATGGAAATAAAAAGGTTAACAAACTGATGACATTTGTGCATGGAAAAGGACTGCTGACAGGACTTCTTTTTTCTAGCCCTAACCCTACCCTGACCCCAAAGTCTGACAGTGCATGCGCCGAAATACTCAAAAGTGTATTTGTATCCTATAATGTAACATGCAATGGACATGCTATACATTAATATTTGATTATGTATTTGGTTAATTTTTCATCAACAAATTTGAAATTTTACTGGTTATTCAGACAATAGCAAGTTTTCTATCCCCCTCATCTGTAACTATTTCCCTCCGCTTTGAGTCGGGAAATAGTTGGTGTCTCGGGAGACAATAAACTTGCTATTGTCCTCCTAGCCAATAATAAAATGCTCCCCTGGGGCACAGCTTGATACGACCGCAGAGGTCGAACCCTGAACAGTTGGGGCAAGTATGGACACAACATTCAAGCTTGATACAGCACTGAATTTGGATTGTAATTAAATATTTGACACAGCATAGGTTTCTCACACAGAATGAAAGTGGTCTAAGAACTTAAAAAATTTTAATTTACCTATTCAAACCATATCATTATTATTTGCTTTTATATATAAATCAGAAATAACCAATTTAAAATGGAAAATTTTAAAGAAAAAAAATGAAAAAAAAATCCCCCCCATTTTTTTGAACCCCCTTATGATTCATCACCCCCAAACTCAATCCCAGCTTTCCCTTTGTGGTATGGTACCTTGCAGTACAATTTCAGAGAGATCCATACACTTGAACACAAGTTATTGTCTGGAAATTAGAAAAATGCTTGTTTTTTGGCCCTTTTTTGGCCCCAAATTCCTAAACATTTAGGGCAATTACCCCCAAACTCAAACCCAGCTTTCCCTTTGTGATATGGAACTTTGAAGTACAATTTCATAAAGATCCATACACTTACACACAAGTTATTGTCCTGAAACTAGAAAAATGCTTGTTTTTTTGCCCTTTTATGGCCCCTAATTACTAAAATTTTGAGGGAATTACCCCCAAAATCAATCCCAGCATTCCCTTTGTGATATGGTACCTTGCAGAACAATTTCAGAGAGATCCATACATTTGAACACAAGTTATTGTCTGGAAACTAGAAAAATGCTTATTTTTGGCCCCTTTTTGGCCCCTAATTCCTAAAATTTGGAGGCAATTACCCCCAAAATCAATCCCAGCATTCCCTTTGTGATATGAAACCTTGTGATACAATGTCAGAGAGATCCATACACTTACACACAAGTTATTGTCATGAAACAAGAAAAATGCTTGTTTTTTGTCCCTTTTTGGCCCCTAATTCCTAAAATTTGGAGGCAATTACCCTAAAAATCAATCCCAGCATTCCCTTTGTGATATGGAACCTTGTGGTACAATGTCAGAGAGATCAATACACTTACACACAAGTTATGTCTGGAAGTTACAAAAATGCTTATTTTTGGCCCCTTTTTGGCCCCTTATTCCTTAACTGTGGGTACCAAAATCCCCAAAATCAATCCCCACCTTCCTTTTGTGGTATTGAACCTTATGGTAAAATTTCATTGAGATCCATTTACTAAAACTAAAGTTAGAGTGCGAAAACTAAGGTGTCTTTGGACGACGACAACGCCGACGACGACGCCAACGTCATACCAATATACGACCACAAAAATTTTTTTGCGGTCGTATAAAAAATAATGGTATACTATAGCATTGTACTTAAAAATAAAACATGAACGTGGTTAACGTCCATGGAACAGCCACCAAACAACACTTAGTAACCAAATCTGAGCATTTCTCGAATCTAGCAACAAAACACTGGTAATGAAAGTGCAAAAAAGTTTTCTAGCCTTAGAAAGGTAGTTTGAGAAAAGCACACTGAAACACCTAAATGACTGTTTTAAAAAGCAAGGTTGGGTCAAATTTTCCTGAATTTTATCTTTTACCTTATGCCTGTAAAAATAACAAAGTCATTAAATATTATTCTATTTACATGCAAAAAGTATCTATAAAACTGTACACCAAAATATGATCATAAAATTTTGTAAAGAGTTGATTGAACATCTACTGGATTTGGTAAAAATATTATTCTGTTTCAATACACGTTCTTCCAATTGGTGCTTTTTTCCCAGAAAAATTTTATTCCACAAAGCAATTATCTTTACGTCACAATGTCCAATGACACATTTTCCCCCAAAATGACCCTAAATCAACTGGGGCAGTTCATTCATAAAATTGAAATTGGAATCTTGTGTATTGTCAAGTTTTAATAATGTCGCATACATATGTCATGAAACAAATCCATATAGCCATCCATGATAAAATACTTGCCACAATTTTGTTTTTTAGTAGATATCATGTATAATACATTCACGTTTGAAAGAATTATTCCAAATAAGAATGTTCTATGAAGGGTAACCATGGATAATAAAATAGTCTTTGATATATGCCTTACAGTTAGAACATTATTTATATGATGTTGAAATTTACTAGCATTATCATATTAGCTTTATAAATAATTGATAATTAAATATCTCTCCAAGTGTTAAATTTCAAATTAGCTGTTAAAAATCTTTGTAAAAGTTCAAAAATCAATTTATTTAATCTGTAATGAAGAAAAAACAATATGTTTGTTAGCACCTACCCATATTTCCAGTCATCATAGGTCTTGGTTGCCCCATCATATTTCCTGGCTGCTGTTGGTTCATAGGCATACCAGCCATTCCTTGATTAATTCCCACCATGCCTTGATTTCCCATCATTCCCATTCCTAAAATAGACAACAATTCTGTAAGGACAAAGTTTTAACGTAAGTTGTTTGTGTAGGATGTTGAACAACACAACTACTGTGGAATCATTTATTTCTGTGGGAACCAATTTACATGCATTGAGAAAAACCTGTTTTTTTGTGGATATTTGAATTCGTTGTTTTGCCAAGTCTGCATACAAGCATATAGAAAATTTGTACTTATGTTGGAACATTTAAATTTGTGGTTCACCTATACCCATGAAATCAACAAAAATTGGTATCCCATTACTACTAATGAATCCACAGTTAACTAACTAAGGATATAATATATGATGTAACTGACTCATTGATAGACGTTGTTGATTTTGACAGTAACTCCATTTTTACTTGTTCTTGTTCTAGTTGTAATCACTAATGAATCATGTTTTGTTGTTGTTCTTGTTGTAATCACTAATTAATCATGTTTTGTTGTTGTTCCATTAGTTGTCACTGTTATTTGGTTTACTAATGGTTGTTACTTGTGATCCAATATTTAATTGCTACAAGAACTATTTTAGTTACATGTTGTTTCAGAGGGAAGAGTTGGAAAGCACTTAATTTGATTAATGTATTTGTGGCAAAAACTTGACAACTTATAGACAAAATATTAAAAGTTTTTTTTATTACTTATGGCTGTTGTTGTTTCGTGTTGTTCTATGTTGTACTTGGTTGGCCTTATGCTTCCTCATCTTGTTGTCAAGTGGATCAAAGATTTTTGTGTATTATCCTAAATACTTCGAAGTTTGAGGTTATACTATTGATTGTGAAAGTAATTGATATGTGGTGTATATTGTATACTAGGTTGTGGATGCCCCATTCATTGTTATATTTGGTTAAAGTTTGCGTAGTATACTCATTTAACAGGTTGTTGTTGTTCCATCCAAGGTTGTAACTGATTCATAATAAGTGGTGTATATTGTCTTAAATGGTCGACATTTCTGACTGGTTGTTGTAATTGGTCAATGATTAGCGGATTATATTGACTTACCAGGTCAACATTTCCGACTGGTTGTTGTAATTAGTTAATGATAAGTGGATTATATTGACTTACCAGGTCAACATTTCCCACTAGTTGTTGTAATTAGATAATGATAAGTGGATTATATTGACTTACCAGGTCAACATTTCCGACTGGTTGTTGTAATTGGTTAATGATTAGTGGATTATATTGACTTACCAGGTTGAGGTTGCCCAGTCTGTAATTGGTTCATTGATGGTTGATGTTGTTTATTTTGATATTTACTTGCAGGACTCAGTGCATCTAAGTCAATATTCACTTTACTAGCTTCACCTGACCAAGTATTCAAGTTCTTCTACAATAAAAAAAATATTAAATTTCTTATTCATCATCACTAGTTGTGCATGACAGAATTTTTCTGACCCAGTGAAATGTATTAAATTGATTTTAAAATTTTTTCACCATTCACCCATATCTGTTTTTCAAGTTTCATTGAGAAAAATATATTTATTCATTTATTTCCCCCCATAAAAACTAAAATATAATATGCATATTCATAATTTTCATATTTGTCAGTATTTCCTTCCTTCCATTTTTTTGTCCATGCAAGCACCTGTTAGTTTCTGCAACATCAGTCACCTATTTTTCATGCTTGTCTGTAATTATGTTTTACATATATATGCAGTGTTAGCTGCAGGGGTTCTATAGGATAAGGTATTTACTTAAGCTTCAAACCACTGTCTAAAATTCTGTTTCCAATAAAAACAGTTTCATCAAAAAACAAAATCTTGTAGAAGGTTTATTTATGAATTTTCTACATTATAATAACATGTGCTGTTGTTTCAAGCTTTCTAATTCTACAAGATTCATAAACATAGTGTAGTTGAATATTAATGCATACATTTCAGGAATCTGGCTCAGAAAAGAAAACATTTATCACTAGATTATTTCCTATACATGAATAAGAAAGAATAACTGTTTGAAAATATTTTGGTTTACACAGATAGAAATAGATAGTCTATTTAAGTGATTGTCCTGGTCTAAGCATAAAATCTGTATAAATCTGTTAAACACGAGTAAAATATCATAGTCAACACTTTCTGCTATTACATAAACTGAGTCATTTGTGTTTTACACATAAACTACTCCCACTTTTTAAAGTACTTAAAGCTTCTATTGAGAGCTTAACAGCTAGTCTATACTTTACATATACCTAGGTCGGAAAATAAACAATTGTATTTGACTTAGCTTCATTTTCTGCTAATTTTTTATGCTTTGTCACCATTTATATTTCAAAACTTGACTTACACAAACTTGAAAGGAAAAGTATGGCATTGGTAATCAGACATATTCTATGCCTTTTCTTATCTATCACATGACTGGGATTAATCCATGCATATCAAAGGTGTAGTTATTGAAGGAGATGGAAAAGCTAAGCTAATAATAATGAACTGAATATAATGTAACATATTTTTCTCTTTAAAAACATAACATATTTTTCATCCCATTGTTCAGTTTGGCATAGTATTTGCTTTTAAAAGTATTTATTTACATATGATAATAGAATTTCAGGAATTCAACACAAGTGAGTCACTTTTATAATCAAGCTTGACAAATTTGAAGAAAACATTTGCCGATAGGGTTTATCATTACTCTAAGAAATAAACACTGGTCAGCAAAAACTTTGCCGCTGAACTTTTTCATTATTTTCATCGCTCATCATCTTTTAAATACTAATTTCTTAAAAAAAGAAAATATAAGAGTGATTTGTCTTTTAATATTTTCAATTTTCCATATGAACTTATATGAATTTCACTTTACAATAATGCAAATTTAAGATTGTTTGCAAGTTCTGTGACGAGCGGTGAAAAACTGTCCATCACCATGCTTAGAGAGAAAAACAGTAACAAACCTTGACCTCAGTGCTAGTTACAGTTTCTTCCTTAGAAACTGTCGTCTGCTAAAACAACATCAAAGTTAACTAGGAATAATTTGTAATAAACTAAAACACACTGAAAGTGAAAGCTTGAGTATTGAAATCAAAACCAAGGCAAATGAAATGATGTCATGATAATGGTCTTTAAATTTATGTGGAACATTTTAACATTGGCTAAATTTTTCATAATCTTTAAACATCTATAAAAACAAAAACTTAGAAATCATCTATTTTCATAACTCCTTCAGAAAAAAATTTAAAAATTCATTTTTACATATTCTAGAACAATACAATATCATTCTCCTTGAGAAATACTCATGTGGAAATTTAAGCTTATGACATGCAGCAGGCAGAAGGATGTTTTCAAAATTTTGATTTCAAGTCAGCATAAAAAATATTCAAACAGAAAGAAACAATAACTTTTGTTTTTAAAAAGCTATGAGATCTAAGTTAATATTTGAAATCAATATATACTACCTGTGTAGGTAACCAGTAATGCTATAGGTATATAAATATCAATAGATAGATACTAAAGCAGAAAAGTATAATAACATATAATTTATACAGTGAATTCTGTATAATGATTAGAGCGTCTTGTTGTTTAACAAATAATATGACAAAGGAGTAGGCCCAGTAAAACCCCTTTTTGGCCCCAAAATATAGCAGTTTTACAAAATTGCTAAAATGTAAATTTTTAGCTATTTATTCGAAAGAAGAATACTTCTGTTACATAAATATGGGCTGTTTTTGACAATACAATGCACATTAAGTCATGCTAAATTATTGAAATCTTCGAAATTTTAGCATTTTGGTTAATTTTTAGACGGTTTCCATCTGAAATGGAAGTGGCCACATTTGTGTTCATTCTTAATATTTAAATGTAAGTTGTATTTGATGATAATACATAACATATATAAAGGTTGAGAATGAACACAGATGCGGCCACTTTCATTTTTGACAAAAACCATCTGAATAGTGACATATTATGGCATATTTGATAGATTTTTCATATTTAAGCTTGAATTTGAGCGTCTTTAATGACTAAATCAGTTCAAATCTTTCACATAAACTAATTCAATCAACTGAATTAGACACTTAAGTGTTTAAAAAGTGTCCAAAATCTTTCATCAGATGAACCTGAATTTTGAGGCCAAAATCAGCCCTTACCGGACCTACTCCTTTAATTATTTTAGCCAAAAATAAACTGTTCTCGTGAGACATTTTCATTGCTATTTCAATTTATATTTGCATTTCCAAATGTGTTTAAATATGTAAACAGAGTTCACTGTATCCTAGTACATATACAATAACAAAGAAGCAGAAGTGCAAAAGACCTCCACAAAGAGTTGTTTTATATGAAGGAGGATTTCAAGCACCAAGTGAGGATTTTGGTTTGAAGGACAAGGCCAATAAATTGTTTGGTGAGTGTAGTGAGACAAATATTTTTTGTAATAATTCAAGAAATATAACTGAACAAAAAATTTACGCTCTAATTTCTTTCTTTGTTTAAAGATTAATATTAGTCGACTTTTCAGATTAAATTATATCACAATGTAAGGAAGACAACTGTGTTTCAAACAAAATTATTTGGTTCATGACTTTTATTATTTCTATGAAAGTTATAGGATAAAATTTAAAGTCAGAGATTTTTCTTACTTTTGAACAATTTTCGTCATCACAATGACCATCGTTAAAAGAAAAGAGGCTTTAACCACGTGCGTCGCTAAAACGATTGTGAAGTACCCACTTCAAAACTATTATTTCCATTAAGTTGAAAAAAAATCCTTTAAGCAACATGTGACACCATTTAATCACACCATTTCATTAAACAATGCAATCAACACCTTTATTAATTATAATCCATTGTTGCCGATAGCTATAAAATGCAATCAGCTGATTATTGATTTTCAATCAAAATCTTAACGAGTTCAAGGTGAATTCCCAGTATTGTCTGATCAGGGAAAAAGTCAGAAAAACCCCAAAAAAGTGAACAAGATGGACGAAGTCGAACTGTCATATTTCTTTTGCCAAACTCTTTCGCCAATAAAGAATTTTAATCGCCACAATTTTTATTTTTTCGCCAGCAGAAACCATGTTTATTACATTTTACAATTCAACTAAGAATTTACCAAATAGAGGTAATTTACCAAAGACTGGTCAACCTCCAGGTAAGAAAAATCTCCTTAAAATAAATCAGTAAATATTCGTAGTTATTAATTTGATAAATGTCAAAGGTAAATATTTTCTTTTTTTAATAAAGAGAGAGAATATAAAAGTCCTTTAAGTATTTCTATGTAACAGTACCCCGGGAAACTGACATATGAATTTTGTAGACAATATAACTATAGCACAAGACTGTATATATATATATATATATATGTATTTAAGTACAACATGCAGTTACTAACAATACAAACAAATCTACAGGGATTTTCACAAACGAGAGGAACAGAAAGTGTTTACATGGATACAAAGCAACATAAGTAACAAAGCTTATTTTGCAACTTTTTGTGCAAGCCTACTAAACTACAATCTTCATAACAGAAAGTAGATTTTTTCAGTTTACATTACTAAAGCCCTTTCACATAACCATGTTAAATACATATATAAGACGAAGTTTTGTACACTAGCAGGATACAAATTATATGTTTCTTGATTGTTACTGCAGCAAGACATTACAATGGTAGCCATGTGCACGAGACAGAGGGTATGCATTTTATATGTTTGCTGTATATGTTTCGTAATTATGTAATAACTGGTGTCAAGCCTACCTTAACTGGCTCATCTTGCTTTTTCTGAATTACATTTATTTATTTATTTTCTTAATCGACATTCTCTGTACCACCAAAACTTAAATAAGGGCTATTTCAAAATTAAATGCGTGGTTGGTTGGTAGGCAATTTTTACCCTCAAACCCCAACCTATATTATTTATTAAATATTCAATTCATTATTTTAAAAATGTGGTGCCTTCCAACCCATCTCAACACATTAGCTTCAGGAATAGCCAAAGTGACTATGGGGGTTTATTGAACAGTAAGAAACAGATGAACTAGGATGAAACAAGAATGTGTCCATAGTACATGGATGCCCTACTCGCACTATCGTTTTCTATGTTCAGTGGGGTCAAAACTCTAATTTGGCATTAAAATTAGAAAGATCATATCAAAGGGAACATGTGTACTAAGTTTCAAGTTGATTGGACTTCAACTTCATCAAAAACTATCTTGACCAAAAACTTTAACCTGAAGCGGGACAGACAGACGAACGGATGGATGAACGAACAGACGAACGAACGAACACATGCACAGACGGAAAAACATAATGCCCCATCTACTATCGTAGGTGGGGCATAAAAAAAAGAACCAAAACATAAAAACAATCTTGAACGTTTTAAAATGAACTTCATGAAATTATGTCAGTAATGATATTGTACATCAATCGTAAGACTGACCACAGGGGAGAAAATGGAAGATGCATAATCACTAACTATTTAAACCAAATGAATAAATTTTTCAATCAGACTGAAAGAATTGGTGTTTAACTTACCATATTGGATTGTCCTGGTTGCAAAGGGGTATAACTCATACCAACATTCTGTCCCATCATGCCTTGCTGTGGAAACATTCCCTACAACCATACAAAAGTAGTCGTTGTATGTCATATCTTAATGCTGATTTTTTTTTGGTTATTTACTTGGAGAATTGGAAGTTAATGGCAGACCTCTGATCATTTCTGTTATATTTTTTCACAACTTTTATAGACTCTGGACAGTTTAGATCTTCCCATAGTGTATATACACCTATCTTTTGTAAAAGACTGTATGTTTCCCAGTTGCCCTCTAGATCTCTTTTGGTTTTTTCCCCCATTCAATTGTTGTTTTATTGATGTATACTCTACATTTCTGTTCAAATGTTTGGTAATCAATTAATTTTCTGAAAAATTGGCAACAATATGAAGAAAAAAAAATTCCCAAAACACTTCCATAATGTGACAGACGCTATAGAAGTATGTGTAAAACATCCCTTCCCTAATAAGAGTCAAAGACTCTAAGGAAGATATACTTCTCATCTGACAAAATATGCCACATTGATGCCCCTTGGTATCTGCTCTGAATTTTGACATTAACATAAATGTGTCTGTGACCTACAATCAAACTAACCTGTTGGTTCATTGCCATTTGGTTCATCCCCACCATACCAGGACTCATCATTCCCATCTGCAAAACAGTACACAAAATAGAACAAGTGGTATATATGTCATACATAGTTACCATTTGACAGAAATACAATCTGTATGTGATTATCTATTACTTTGTGTCAATCTTATCAATAACAAGCATTCTGTGAGTATTGCATGGCAATACATAGTCCCCTACCGGTTACAAATTCATTGTAATGGAACTTGATCTATAACTTGTCATGGTGTAAACTACATAAAAATATCAAGTCAAAATATTCAAGCATGACGGAAAAAACTGTTGAAAACTGATTATTTAAGTGAATTTTCTATGTCCAAAGACTATAACTCTGCACAAAATTATCAGACTAGAACAAAATTCCAACTTGATCTGTAATGTGTCATGATAAAACTATATACTAATTATCAAATCAATATCTTCAAGAATGACAAACAAACCTACCACTAGATTCTTCAAACAATTTACCAAAGAAAAGGAAAAAATCCAAAATGTCATTTTGTCTTTTAAAAAATGAGTTATTTCCCTTTGAACAGAAATCTACTAGTTAATAAGTATTTCATCAAAAATTTAATTCTAGGGAAAGGGCTTTAACTGAACAAAGAGAAAAGCTAAAATCGTGAAAATTGAACTTGACCTGCAACTTGTCATGATAAATCAATAAACCAAATATCAAATCAATATCTTTAAGCATGAAGAAAAAAAGTCTGGAAAACTGATTTGCCGGACTAACAGATGGACTTACAGACAGCCAGACAGACAGATAGACGGACGGAGTGCAAACCTAAAGTTGTTTAAATTTCATGAATTTTTAAGGCCATCATTAACCCTTTGTGAACCTACTTTCTTTTAGGGTATACCCCTTTATATTTTTGTATATATATTTGATCAATTTTTATAACATAGTCAATATTTAGAAAAAATAAATAAACAATACAATACCATGTTTGGATTGTTCATTGGTTGTTGACCCATGCTCGTCATTGGCTGGTTCATGTTTCCCATGGCTGCCTGTGTCGACATGATTGGCTGGTTCATTGTTCCCATTGGTTGAGACATCTGTCCCACTCCTGGCTGATTCATCATTCCCATTGGCTGTGACATGTTCATTGGTTGTGATGACATCATTGGCTGAGATGACATCATTGGCTGAGATGACATCATTGGCTGAGATGACATAGACATCATAGGAGCCATATTGTTCATTGGTTGGATGGGGTTATTGGACGGTTGCATAGCAGGCGATGATGTGCCACTACTAGTAAATACATCAAACAATTCAGAATTTGGTGCTGTCTGTGTTTGACCAGATGATGGAGCACTAAACTGTTGGAAATCTGCAAAACCTTCAGAACTGAAACAAAATGACTTGTATTGTTAGTAAGGATGCTGACTTTTCTGCTGTTTACATAATAAGAATTGAAATGAGCTCAATTTGATAAATTTAATTAATCTTATTTTGTTTTCATTCATATTTTTGTTTTTAATCTTGGTCTGTGCAAATATGCCATCAGTCTGACGTTCCTGACTTACAAAACTGACTTGGGACTACCCATTCATTTATCGATTAAGGTCAGATTGTTCAGGGTTGTAAACATCCCGTTCACAGACAGTGTAATTTTGTATTAAAAATGTCCAATGTCACAGCTTAGAACAGAATGCGCTATGACTCAATTATGAATGCGAGTAAAAATCCCTGCTTGGAAAATCAGATTTCACCACATTTTAGTAACTGCTTATCTGGCTTTTTGGTCAAAGATAACTATTGCAAAATATTATGGCTATTGTAAAATAAGTCAATTAAAAAGTAAAATCGCAACTGTAATTTTTTTAAAGTTATTTTAGGGAATTGAAATAGCAGCATTCAGTAGTTGTCGTTTGTTGATGTGGTTTATAAGTGTTTCTCGTTTCTCGTTTTTATATAGATTAGACCGTTGGTTTTCCCGTTTGAATAGTTTTACACTAGTAATTTTTGGGGCCCTTTATAGCTTGCAGTTCGGTGTGAGCCAAGGCTCCGTGTTGAAGACCGTACTTTGACCTATAATGGTTTACTTTTATAAATTTTGACTTGGATGGAGAGTTGTCTCACTGGCACTCATACCACATCTTCTTACATCTAGATATATATATTATTGAAAAATGCTTTTTAACTCCAAACTGTAACATGAACTGCTTTGCTACAAATTGTCTCTGAAATTGAAAGATGTATTCCCAGTGAAATCTGTTATTTAACTTGAAAATATATACAACTGTATTGCACTCCCATGCTTGTACAGTATAAAAATCCACTCAGGACAATATTCACTAATTTTCATGCAGTAATCTTATAATACTATCTAGCATAACTGAACTGAAGAAACAACAAGTTAGCCATAATCCTCTAGTTGAGAGTTTGGCTAACTTCTGTTTTCAATGTTTTATTTCAAAAAAACAATTATCGACAAAATTCTGTAAATAAATCAGTATTAAGAGTGTATTTATGTTTCCATTTTTACCTTTTAGGTGATGTAGCACCTTGAAACTGTGAGAAATCAGCAAAACCATTTGATGTTGATGAAACTGCAAAAATAATAGAAATATGTAAATAAAAGGTTAAACATACAAAGATATCTTTACTGTTTTTACAGTATTTTGGTAATAATAAAGTAATATTGGATAATGAATTAAACTTGCATATTAATATGGATTAGGTAAATTATTAGTTTTAAAAATTATAAAGGCACCCTCTACATTTTCAATAACAAACGGCAGAACGTAAACAAACATCTCGAAATTCGAGCTTTTCTCTTATTTCTTGCTTATTGTACTTTAAAATCTGCACCCCTGCCTGGCAATATTAATTTTGGAGCAAAAAACTCAAGACTATACAAGCCTGAATTCGGTAGTTTTAACATGCTTAAAAATTCGGTTTGTAATTGCAGAGATTAAATTTTGTGATTTCTATAGCTAAATCCATTGTTAGTTTATATTTACATGTCACTGATTGAGATCCTCCTTAATGTTTAATATATGTGAAGGAATATTGTCATGATTTATCTTAAGTACCAAATTACCACATATGAACTTCTCTCACAAATTTCTTGCTTTAGGATAATATTTTCAAACACACAGGTTTATTTTTGCTTTAATAAAAAAATTTTACTGGCCAACATAATTTTCTCATTGTCTTCATCAATATAAATATTTCATCATACCTGCTGTTGTATTTGTGGCTCTTGGATCAAAATCATTGGCACTTTTAAAATCATCGAATCCTGATATCAAATCTGGTGCATTACTGCTGGACTGTGACTGAAAATATTAAACACATGGTTATTATACATGACACACTAACGGACGTACTAGGACGGTCATATAAAGGACCAGAAAACATAATGCCCCTCTACTATCTTAAGCAGGGCATAACAAAATAACAAGGTGACAAACCAGAAATCATTGAGTTCACTATTTGTTTTTCAAAATTTTAGAATTTTTACTTACATGTACATGCAGTAGATAAGAATAAACAAACATATCTGAAGCTGATGTCTGTCATGGTATTGGTTACTCTGTTTTAGTAGAAAAGATCAGTTTTCTCTTCAGACACATTTAATTTTGTGTTTAAACATGTATTACCAATTAAGAAAGAAAGATACATTACTTACAATTGTATCAGGATTTTTATTTTTCCCATATGATGCTGCAGCTCCTAGATCTAATTTTTTAGCGGATTGTGATCGTCGTACAATTTTTTCTGTATGTGTGGTATGTGTTCTCTCTACTGATGTGTATTCCTCCTCGTCTTTGAAGTCTAATCTATCTGATTTGTTACCATCATCATATCTATTATCTGTATCATCACTGTAAAAACAAAGATATTGTTTTATTCAGAGTTATAAATTAGTACCCATTCATGCCACTGGTATCTTGCTCTGAGGTAGACTTAAAGAAAGTTTGGAAAAAATGAGTTTATTATCAGTAAAACTGAATACATTCAATATCAAATCAGATTTATTTTTAAAGAGGTCTCAGCAAGACTGTATTGCCCACCTGGTATCAACAATACAGTACTGCTTCAATATTAGTATCAGTCTTTTCAAATGGAGGCTTATAAACAATAATAAAGGTTATTGTATCTAGCAGCTTATCATCAATTTTTTTAATGAATACCATTACATCATTTTTTAGAAAATGGTTTCATTTATGTTTTGGAAGTCCTTATTGGCATGGTTTCTTATCAAGAAAAAGTCTATTGTTCTAGTTATTTCAGAGAGGAAGTCTTTTTGTATATCAGGCAAGATTATATGTTCTTTATTTGAAAATTACCACTCTTAGCAACATTCCTGAGAAAACTATGTCAATTTGGCCAAGTCAAGTATTTCATAAGAATTTTGATTAATACTATTAAAGTTTGATGATTATATTTTTTTTAAATAAAGGGAGATATTCAATTTATAGCAATATGGCCATGTTTGTTACTTTTTGGCATGATAAAAAATATTCTTGAAACTCAACACCCTAGGAATTATTCTGACAGTTTAGTTTATTGGTACAGAGGAATAATTTTCCAAAGTTAATACAGGTGATGGCAAAACTAATAAAAGTCTTAATCCATCCGACAGTCTTAAATCACTGTAAGTTTTTACACAATCATTCATTGATTATGACTTGACAGCAGCAAATAGTACCTAAGATTATTCAATAATTTCTATGAGATGAAAAAATTGCAAAACAAGCATTACAAAAAAAAAAGTGCGGAAAACTGAATATTTGAGTGAATTTTCTAAGTCCAAGGACCATAACTCTGCACAAAATTATCAGACCGGAACAAAATTCGTACTTGATCTGTAACTTGTCATGATAAAACAATATACCAAATATCAAATCAATATCTTCAAGCATGAAGAAAAAAAGTTTGGAAAACTGATTTGCCGGACTGACAGATGGACAGACAGACGGAGAGCAAACCTAAAGTCCCCTTCGACTTCGTCGGTAGGGGACTAATAAAATATTTTTTTTGGATCAAAACACTATAAGACATTTTTACAAAGGGGCATAACCCAATGATCACTTTGTAAAAAGTATCACGGAAGCCACTTAAGAAAATGAGTTGTAAGAATTAAAATAATGACAGAATTACATATAAAAATGAATAATGAGGTTGAAAAATGTTTATATTCAAATGAACATTTGTCTATCATGCTGTATAAACTCTTTCAATAATAATGTAATAATGCACTCTCCAATGGCTCCTACCTTATTATATTGAAGTTAAATAACTTGAGTGATATCAAGTGATATCGAATTCTAACTCATATCTATACTGGCTCAATGTCAATATTCCAATTCATCCCAGTACCTCAAAATATTTATATCAATTCCCTATATTGACACAATGCAGCATGCTCTGTATAAATTTATGAACTATATTTGTATACAAGAAATGTTCCCACACATAATGTTAGCCATTAATCCTGAATCAACACAAAACTATACAGATATTACATATAGTGTATACAAGATTACTGTCTAAGGCTCTATATGACAAAGAACAAAACATGTAATATAGTTGTGCATACATTAAAGAGCTTCTTTGTGTTAACATGATTTGCATAGATGTTTTTTGTTTGTTTTGTACACTGAAAAATGTTTCTAGTTTCAAAATGACTTTCTTTCATAAACCTTATGTGTATTATGGAGAAATGACATAATAATGATAATATTGAATTAAAAAAAAAATCAAAGCAGGAGAATAGAAATTTAAATTTGATATAATAGTAGAGATGAAAGTTTTATGAGGAGAAAAAGAGATGAAACTCGACAGAAGAATGAATCATTGCACAACAATTATAGCAACAACAAGACATTTACAGAACCTATTTACAATCAAAATTTATGTTTCCCATGTTATAAATTCAGCTAAATAAAACATAATCATATTTAAATAAAGCGTTCACAATACCAATGAAGAAATAAGAAAATACCATCAATTTTGGTTAAGCCTCGGACAGCAAATGGTATAGGTAGTACCACAAGCTTTAAAAAAGATGCAAATATCCCATTACTTTGTGATTGGAGATAATTCCTAACCTAGGGTAATGGAGGAAAAATTTCATTGGGAAAATGAATTTTGCACTATTTCAATAAAAATGAAAACTAGAACTATCTGACAAAAGCAACATTTTAGATTTTAAGTATTTATTTCTATGGATAATGACAAAAAAATCTATTGATAAAAGACTGAAAAGCAATTACAAAAGCAGGTATACAATAAAAATAATTGTTTTAATTAATCAGGCAGAATACAAAATATTGATGTGAAAATAAAATTGACAACATGCAGATGATATTTACGCCTTGACATCTTCCCCTGCAGGCTGGTAAACTATATTTGAACACCAACTGAAATAATATGAATATTTTTTTCTGTCAGAGGGAGATAAACGGGACAATCCCAGAAATATATATTACTATGTTCAAACTTATTTCATGACAAAAACAAAGCATTACAAACCAAATAAAATGCTTCGCTGGGCGCAGCTTGATACGACCGCAGAGTTCGAACCCTGAACAGTTGGGGCAAGTATGGACACAACATTCAAGCTTGATACAGCTCTGAATTTGGATTGTGATTAAATATTTGACACAGCATAGGTTTCTGACACAGAAAGAATGTGGTCTAAGAACTTCAATTTTTTTAATTTACCTATTATGGTCCAATGTCCAAAATCAAAATACATGGTTAGATTCAGCATATCAAAGAACCCCATATATTCAATTTTTGTTGAAATCAAACAAAGTTTAATTTTGGACCCCAACTTGGACAAACTTGAAAACTGGTCCCATAATCAAAAATCTAAACACATGTTTAGATTCAGCATATCAAAGTACCCGAAGAATTCAATTTTTGTTAAAATCAAACTAAGTTTAATTTTGGACCCTTTGGACCTTAATGTAGACAAATTTAAAAAACGAGACCCAAAATTAAAAATCTAAAAACACGGTTAGATTTGGCATATCAAAGAACCCCAATTATTCAATTTTTGATGAAATCAAACAAAGTTTAATTTTGGACCCTTTTGACCTCAATATGAACCAATTTGATAGCGGGCCCACAAATAAAAAATCTAAATACATGGTAAGATTCAGCATATCAAAGAACCCCATATATTCAATTTTTGTTGAAATCAAACAAAGTTTAATTTTGGACCCCAATTTGGACCAACTTGAAAACTGGGCCAAAAATCTAAAATCTAAATACATGTTTAGATTCAGCATATCAAAGAACCCCATATATTCAATTTTTGTTGAAATCAAACAAAGTTTAATTTTGGACCCCATCTTGGACCAACTTGAAAACTGGTCCCATAAATAAAAATCTAAACACATGTTTAGATTCAGCATATCAAAGAACCCCAAAAAATCAATTTTTGTTAAAATCAAACTAAGTTTAATTTTGGACCCTTTGGACCTTAATGTAGACCAATTTAAAAAATAGGCCCCAAAATTAAAAATCTAAATACACGGTTAGATTTGGCATATCAAAGAACCCCAATAATTCAATTTTTGATGAAATCAAACAAAGTTTCATTTTGGACCCTTTTGACCTCAATATGAACCAATTTGATAGCGGGCCCACAAATAAAAAATCTAAATACATGGTAAGATTCAGCATATCAAAGAACCCCATATATTCAATTTTTGTTGAAATCAAACAAAGTTTAATTTTGGACCCCAATTTGGACCAACTTGAAAACTGGGCCAAAAATCTAAAATCTAAATACATGTTTAGATTCAGCATATCAAAGAACCCCATATATTCAATTTTTGTTGAAATCAAACAAAGTTTAATTTTGGACCCCAACTTGGACCAACTTGAAAACTGGGCCCATAATCAAAAATCTAAACACATGTTTAGATTCAGCATATCAAAGAACCCCAAGAATTCATTTTTTGTTAAAATCAAACTAAGTTTAATTTTGGACCCTTTGGACCTTAATGTAGACCAATTTAAAAAACGGGACCCAAAATTAAAAATCTAAATACACGGTTAGATTCGGCATATCAAAGAACCCCAATAATTCAATTTTTGATGAAATCAAACAAAGTTAAATTTTGGACCCTTTGGACCTCAATGTGGACCAATTTAAAAACGGGGCCCAAAATCCAAAAACTTAATACACGGTTAGATTCAGCATATTAAAGAACCCCAAGAAATCAAGAATAAAACCCCATTGAAATTGATCAAGAAATAAGCAATTTATACGAAGTATCTTCTTTTGCACAATACTGTGCAATTGAATATTTCTTGCTATTGCGCAATACTGTACAATTGACAATTTCTTGCTATTGCGCAATATTGTGCTATTGGATATTTCTTGCTATTGCGCAATACTGTGCAATTGAAGATTTCTTGCTATTGCGCAATACTGCGCAATTGAAGATTTCTTGCTATTGTGCAATACTGTGCAATTGAAAATTTCTTGCTATTGCACAATACTTATTATATAATAATTTACACATCCTGTTTGGTGTGTATCTCCTACCATATCATTATTATTTGCTTTTAAATATAAATCAGAAATAACCAACTTAAAATGGAAAATTTTAAAAGAAAAAAAAAAGGAAAAAAAGAAAAAAAAAAAAAAAAATCCCCCCCCCCCCAAATTTTTTGAACCCCCCTTATGATTCATCACCCCCAAACTCAATCCCAGCCTTCCCTTTGTGGTATGGTACCTTGCAGTACAATTTCAGAGAGATCCGTACACTTGAACACAAGTTATTGTCTGGAAACTAGAAAAATGCTTGTTTTTTGCCCCTTTTTTGGCCCCTAATTCCTAAAATTTTGAGGCAATTACCCCCAAAATCAATTACAGCCTTCCCTTTGTGATATGGAACCTTGTGGTACAATGTCAGAGAGATCCATACACTTACACACAAGTTATTGTCTGAAAGTTACAAAAATGCTTATTTTTGGCCCCTTTTTGGCCCCTAATTCCTTAACTGTTGGTACCATAACCCCCAAAATCAATCCCAACCTTCCTTTCGTGGTATTGAACCTTATGGTGAAATTTCATGGAGATCCATTCACTTAAACTAAAGTTAGAGTGCGAAAACCAATGTGTCTTCGGACGACGCCGGACGACGACGACGACGACGACGACGACGACAACGACGACGACGACGACGACGACGACGACGCCAACGTCATACCAATATACGACCAAAAAATTTTTAATTTTTGCGGTCGTATAAAAATAGCTTAATCTGTAATATATAGGAACTAAAACTCTCTAAGAAAACATTCCATGAATTTTGAAAATAGGATATATATGTTTTCTTAATTTAAAAAACTGAACTCAAAAATGCCAATCTCAAACTGTAAAAACAATTCAATTTTCAAAACAACACAACATTATCAACACAAACTAAAATATAAAAATATGATTCTATTTATATATTTCAAAACTACTGAATATGCAAACTTCTTCCATTAAAGACATGCCAAATTTTCTGCATTCAAAATATACAAATATTTCCTCACCTAAAATCAGGATGGCTGTTTTTACTATCTTGTGACCTGCTTGCACTAAAATATAGGTCCATGGTTTTAAAGAAGCACAATTATATATATGACAAGATGAGTATAATGGAGTTAGTATCATGATACTTAGATCCATGTCTATGGTGTTAGTCACAAATGACAAAAGTGTGTAACATCCTTTAAAGATCATTTTTAAAAACCCAGCTTCAATTATTATAATAAAATATATCAAGAGTTTTCTCCTTACCTTGGTCAGTAATAGACTAGTGGAAAGACCATCATATTTTGATTCTTTTAATACTTGAAAATTCTCAAGTATTTAAAACAAAAATGAGATTACATATTGATTTTTACTGACTGAACTTGAAACCATTTCATGCACTGTCTTATGTCTTATTTCCTTGTTTTTTGTAGGGCTTGGGGATCCTGTCAGACCTGTCTCCCTAGTATGTTATAAGTCTATCATGAGAACAAAACTTACAGAATCAAATCTGGATTATGAAAATGATCTTCAAAAAACCACAAAAAAAAATAGTTCCAGATTTTACTATTTGTGCTAATACACTGTTTCAAATTACAAAGCAAAAATGAATAACTGCTACGAGATAAAGATTAGAACTTCTTTTCACTATTGAAATGATAAATGAAATGAGATTGTCAATGATTTTTGTCTAACCTTGTCTTTTGACATGGTATGATAATACATTTGATTTGACTTTTTAGCCTACAGGGAAGACTGTCTTGTAGAATAAAGTTCAGTCATAGCTTTATTTACAGGTAACCTTGAACAAAAGTCCATAATAACTAGCAAAGAATTTGTCACATCAAAAGATATACCATACTGAGAGAAAGAAAGAAAGGAAGAACCAGTAACAAAATGACGTAATACAGCATAACTTTACCTATAATCTACAATATCATCTGGACCATGTCTTCCTTGAACTTTATTCCACAGGCCTTTAACTTTATCTACAGCTTCCTCTGTTATACTCTTGCGTCCTGTATCAAAGTCATCTATTTCATCCATACTACCATCTTGATCTTTCTTTTTTGGTTTTTCTTCATATCTGTCACCTTAAGAAAGTAATGGATGATAACACAGATGAAGATAATATCCCATTTTTGATTTATTTTCTTTAAAACGTACAGCTTGTTTCATGCTTCATAATGTCTTAAGTAAAAAAAAATCCAAACTATACAATATCTTCTAATATCCTAAATAATGTTCTTATATCCTGATTATTGTTATGGTTATTTTGTTGTTGCTAAGTTTGCATGGATTGTGAATCTTGTGATTTGTTTGTGTTTCTTTTTTCATTTTGTGAATTTATACTGCAGCTGTATTTTAAAAGAATAAAAGAAATGAGTTTCAATGTACCCCGCGTTGCACATATTTTATATTTCCAAGGGCATAACTCTTTTAAAAAAAGTTGATCGTCCACCATTATAGAACTTGTCCGAGATTTTGCTGATATTAACCTATAGTATAAGTTTTATAAAAACTGGCAAGAATTGTACCCGTGAGAGCGCTAACGAGACCATTTTTCCATAATTTTAATATTTCCAAGGGCTTAACTCTTTAAAAAAAGTTGATCGTCCACCATTATAGAACTTGTCCGAGAAATTGCTGATATTAAGCTATAGTATAAGTTTTATAAAAATCTGGCAAGAATTGTACCTGTGAGAGTGCTAACGAGGCCATTTTCTATAAATTTCATATTTCCAAGGGGCAAAACTCTTTTAAATAAAGTCGATCGTCCACCATTATAGACCTTGTTCGAGATATTGCTGATATTAACCTATAGTATAAGTTTTATAAAAATCGGGCAAGAATTGTACCTGTGAGAGCGCTAACGAGGCCATTTTCTATAAATTTCATATTTCCAAGGGGCAAAACTCTTTTAAATAAAATGCTCCGCAGGGCGCAGCTTGATACGACCGCAGAGGTCGAACCCTGAACAGTTGGGGCAAGTATGGACACAACATTCAAGCTTGATACAGCTTTGCATTTGGATTGTGATTAAATATTTGACACAGCATAGGTTTCTAACACAGATTGAATGTGGTCTAAGAACTTAAAAATTTTAAATTGGACATTCACCTATTATGGTCCAATATCCAAAATCTAAATACATGGTTAGATTCAGCATATCAAAGAACCCCAAGAATTCAATTTTTGATGAAATCAAACAAAGTTTAATTTTGGACCCTTTTGACCTCAATGTGGACAAAGTTGATAACGGGGCCCAAAAATCAAAAATCTAAATACATGGTTAGATTCAGCATATCAAAGAACCCCATATATTCAATTTTTGTTGAAATCAAACAAAGTTTAATTTTGGACCCCGATTTGGACCAACTTGAAAACTGGGCCCATAATCAAAAATCTAAATACATGTTTAGATTCAGCATATCAAAGAACCCTAAGAATTCAATTTTTGTTAAAATCAAACTAAGTTTAATTTTGGACCCTTTGGACCTTAATGTAGACCAATTTGAAAACGGAACCAAAAATTAAGAATCTAAATACACGGTTAGATTCGGCATATCAAAGAACCCCAATAATTCAATTTTTGATGAAATCAAACAAAGTTTAATTTTGGACCCTTTTGACCTCAATGTGGACAAAGTTGATAACGGGGCCCAAAAATCAAAAATCTAAATACATGGTTAGATTCAGCATATCAAAGAACCCCATATATTCAATTTTTGTTGAAATCAAACAAAGTTTAATTTTGGACCCCGATTTGGACCAACTTGAAAACTGGGCCCATAATCAAAAATCTAAATACATGTTTAGATTCAGCATATCAAAGAACCCTAAGAATTCAATTTTTGTTAAAATCAAACTAAGTTTAATTTTGGACCCTTTGGACCTTAATGTAGACCAATTTGAAAACGGAACCAAAATTTAAGAATCTAAATACACAGTTAGATTCGGCATATCAAAGAACCCCAATAATTCAATTTTTGATGAAATCAAACAAAGTTTAATTTTGGACCCTTTGGACCTCAATGTGGACCAATTTAAAAACGGGGCCCAAAATCCAAAAACTAAATACACGGTTAGATTCAGCATATTAAAGAACCCCATGAAATCAAGAATAAAACCCCATTGAAATTGGTCAAGAAATAAGCAATTTATAGGAAGTATCTTCTTTTGCACAATCCTGTGCTATTAAATATTTCTTGCTATTGCGCAATACTGTACAATTGACAATTTCTTGCTATTGCGCAATATTGTGCTATTGGATATTTCTTGCTATTGCGCAATACTGTGCAATTGAAGATTTCTTGCTATTGCGCAATACTGTGCAATTGAAGATTTCTTGCTATTGTGCAATACTGTGCAATTGAAAATTTCTTGCTATTGCACAATACTTATTATATAATAATTTACACATCCTGTTTGGTGTGTATCTCCTACCATATCATTATTATTTGATTTTAAATATAAATCAGAAATAACCAACTTAAAATGGAAAATTTTAAAAGGAACAAAAAAGGAAAAAAAGAAAAAAAAGGAAAAAAAAATAAATCCCCCCCCAAAATTTTTTGAACCCCCATTATGATTCATCACCCCCAAACTCAATCCCAGCCTTCCCTTTGTGGTATGGTACCTTGCAGTACAATTTCAGAGAGATCCATACACTTGAACACAAGTTATTGTCTGGAAACTAGAAAAAAATGTGTTTTTTGGCCCCTTTTTGGCCCCAAATTCCTAAACGTTTAGGGCAATTACCACCAAACTCAAACCCAGCTTTCCCTTTGTGATATGGAACCTTGTAGTACAATTTCAGAAAGATCCATACACTTACACACAAGTTATTGTCATGAAACTAGAAAAATGCTTGTTTTTTGCCCCTTTTTTGGCCCCTAATTCCTAAAATTTGGAGGCAATTACCCCCAAAATCAATCCCAGCATTCCTTTAGTGATATGGAACCTTGTGGTACAATGTCAGAGAGATCCATACACTAACACACAAGTTATGTCTGGAAGTTACAAAAATGCTTATTTTTGGCCCCTTTTTGGCCCCTAATTCCTTTACTGTTATTACCATAACCCCCAAAATCAATCCCAACCTTCCTTTTGTGGTATTGAACCTTGTGGTAAAATTTCATAAAGATCCATTCACTTAAACTAAAGTTAGAGTGCGAAAACCAATGTGTCTTCGGACGACGACGACGGACGACGACGACGCCAACGTCATACCAATATACGACCACAAAAATTTGTTTGCGGTCGTATAAAAAAGTCGATCGTCCACCATTATAGAACTTGTTTGAGATATTGCTGATATTAACCTATAGTATAAGTTTTATAAAAATCTGGCAAGAATTGTACCTGTGAGAGCGCTAATGATGCCATTTTCCATAAATTTAATATTTACAAGGGGCATAACTCTTTTTAAAAAAGTCGATCGTCCACCATTTTAAAACCTGTCCGAGATATTGCTGATATTAACCTATAGTATAAGTTTTATAAACATCTGGCAAAGAATTATACCTGTGAGAGTGCTAACAAGACCGGAACAGACAGACACACCGACGGAGGGACAGTATTTCCATGTCCCCCGCAACACGTTACGCAGGGGACAATTAATGATATTTCTATCATATGTTGTTTTGAATTTGCTAGAAGTTTAAAAAGACTATACAGCATGTATGTGCTCAGTTGATACAACATTTTACAATCTGGACGCATCTTTGGACTCACCAGTTTTGAAAATGATGAGTCCAGACATATTTTCATGAGTTCAGGACTAATGAACTGGCGGTAGTGAATGCCCTGACTGGTACAAGCTTTCTGTTGTTAAAACTTACTATATCTAAAGTCACCACTACTTTCACCAGACAGTCCAACAAATTTATCTTTATTTTTCTTTGCTTTTCGTCTTTCTTCTCTCAATCTTTCATCATCCTGGATGAAATCTATCAGATCTTTTACTTTTTGTCTCACTGAAATTTTTAAAATATGAACATTATTAACATGTAATTTTAAAAATTAGAAATATAAAGTACATGTAGTGTCTATTATGCCCTCATTGCCAGGGAAGTCATCAGCATAGTGTTTAATCTGTATCAGCTGCTGTATATCAAACAGTTAATTATGTTAATAACTGAAGAATTTCATTGGAACTGTTTTGGAAACTAGAAATTTGAATGCAACACAAAATGTTTATTTGTGAATAAACATGAATGGGAAATTGTCTCTCCAAACCACAATGTGTGTCACCTACATTTGTACTTATTGTAGTATGGAATTGTTACATTCAACATTGAGCACTGTATTAAAAAAACTGGTGTCAATAGTTTGAAGTCTTATGTGGATAGTTTACAGACATTTGAACCAATTTGAAAATAGTCACATGGCTCCTTTTCTGAAAAGCAATGGACCCAAGGCTCATTACATTTCAATCCTTAAATGAACTCTTCCATCAGGATTAATCTGAACTTGATAAAAGATTCATACCATATTCACCAGTAATAAAGATTTAAGTCAAACTCTCTGCTCATGAATCAAATATCTAATGCTTCAATCACCAACCCCAAACTTATTTGCCCTGATCCTTGCCATGCTCATCTGTAAATTTTTACTTTATTTGTTATATATATATTAATAATTATCGCCCAATACAACAAGCCCTCCCCCCACATATACAAAATGTACTTCAATTAGTTGATTACTTCTATGTCATTTGGTCTCTGGTGGAGAGTTGTCTCATAGGCAATCATACAACATCTACTTACTTGTATATTCAATCATTGAGTAAACCTACCATTAATGCCTTGATCTTTGCCATGTTCATCTGTAAATGTGTAGTTCTCCAAACCTCTCAGATCATATAAATGTTCCCGTGAACTTGTTACTACTCTTTCAGATCCATTTCTTATCAAGTAAGATAACAATAACAAAGACTGCAAGGGAGATAATCAATATAGTATTTTGAATATAGTTTATATATTTATTGTCACTTTTTTGGTCTTTTGGAAAAAGGTTGTTTGTGCTGTATTTAGACCAAGAAATTTGTTTTGCATGCACACGTATAAAAATTGCGGTTTTTATCCAACGCAATCATAGGTTTGAACGTTGTTTTGAAATTTAGACTTGTTTATATTTTTTCGTTTGGGCTTGTATTATATTTGCTTTCGGGTTTATATGATCCGTTCATCCTATTTCGACTCTTCAAAATTCAAGAGTCTATCCTAAATTGTGGTAAATTATATGGCCTTCCAAATACTGTTTCGATTCCTAACATCACTGAAGAGACATTAATTGTCGAAATCCGGATATGGTGTACTAATTTTTGCACCTTTTGTTTGCGGTATACCATCTTTACCGCGATTTTATTGTTTTCTGCTTGATATTAAATTAGTATTTAAGATCCATTTTGTTACATCTGGTGATCATTTATTTGGCAATCGCCAATGGCAGTCAGCAGGGTTTAAGAACATCCGTTGTTCGACCTGCTAGTCAAATGCGTTTTGTTAAAATATACTTTGTCACTTTTTTGGTCTTTTGGAAAATGTTGTTTGTGCTGTATTTAGACCTCTCTACCAAGAAATTTGTTTTGAATGCACACGTATAAAAATTGTGGTTTTTATCCAACGCAATCATAGGTTTGAACGTTGTTTTCAATTTAGACTTGTTTATATATTTATTATATACAGTCAACATTTATGTGTCTATGACCCATCTATATTGGAACATCAACATATATGTAGTCCCAAGTCTTAAAGGTGCACATACTGTCAATATAGAAGTATACTGATCGTATGAACAAACATATAGTGTATATATATTTGATTATGAAGAAAAAAATATATTTTTGAGCATGTATTTCATAAGTAAAATATAATAGCACATAGAAAATAGACTTATTGTTGTCAGAATATTTTGTCACTATCAAAATGCTTCATAGTTCGAAATTTTGTTGCAGCTTTACTTTGGTTTGCTGTGATAACTTGTAACTTTGCTATTCAGTTGTTGGTAGTCATATACGTTTTCCTCTGAAACTGTTTTTTTGTTAATTTCTTTCAACTGGCGTTTTTTTAAGTAATATACATTTCTTAATTTGTTTGCATTTCAAATAAATAATGGTGACTTTTTTTCTCACATTGAATATTGGAAGTTGCAAATTCTATGGATATACATTTATACAACAAAAAAAATGTCTTTCATTTATTAAGTAACTTTGGTTTCAGATTTTCTTATTTGAGTGCTGATTAAATTGAATTAAATGTAAAAATTTTGAAACAAACTGTTAACTTACTTTGTATGTCCTCCTCCAGTTCTTTTTGTTATCCTGTAACATTCTTTTCCATAACATCCCGACCACTTCAGGAAAATGTTCATATGTAAATGTGAATCTGGCTATTTCATTCATTAGTGAGCCATGTGGACCCCAGGCATCATCGTTTGTGGCTTCTCTGACTTTGGTCTCAACTTCAGAGTAGTTCATCACAACATTTGTGCTGTAAATAAATAAACCAGAATATCAAACATACAAGTTCACACTGGTGCTGTTTAAGCAAGGGTCTCAGAAATCATAAGAACATTGATTGGAAGAGAACACTTTCTATTATCTTTATTTGAAATGTAAAGAGTTGTTATAATACTTAAATGAAAGATGGTGGCTACATCAAAATTAGAGTCTTGTATCGATAAATTGTTTTTTCTCTCTAACTTATTCGATTCATTCATTGATGATAAGGTCTTCTTGTTCAAGGCTTTGTTTTAATGTACATGAAGTTTCATTGTATATTCAAATTTAATACATGAAATCACAGGTCTTTATAATTTATCTACTAAAACGGAGACTGGGTTAAAGCTTATAAATAATATAATAAGTAGTTAGGTTAATTGTTGAAGAGCATGATTTGACCTTTAGATATTTATTTTCTTGTCTGATGAGGTATGTAACTTGGATAGTTAACTCCAATACCCTCCCTTGGAAATTAATAATCAAATACGTGAACACAATTGTATTTCAAATTCATTCAGACATACATGTACAGTACAGTCAAGCAATTTGTGTATGTATGATTAACCATGGTATTGATGTTGGTAACAGTTCCTGGTTCCAAAGAATATATAATATGGGAATGTCTAATATGACAAATAATGGTTGACAAATACTGATACAATGTACACACTTGAAAAAAGAAAAAACAGGTATTAAAGATGTACTTAGGTGAAATGAAAAAAATCTAGAATTTAAAATTGATAGTCATCATACATTAGTTAAGGAACAAAATGAGCTAAAATTATTGATAGGTTGTGTAGCTCCTTTTTGAGATATTTAATTTTTTTTAAATGGCGGGATAAAGGCTAACTCGGACTTTTACCTTATGTTTGCATTGGTATTATTTGGGTCTCAAATCGAAAGAAAAGAAATCTAGAATCTGCTTAAATTTTGGTAAATGACCTTTTATGAGCTATTGAAGTCTTATGTGAAAAGAAAAATGGGTGTTATGGGGCAAAAAATTTTACCCTGTATCGTAGGAAAAAAACCAAGGAGTCCGAACATTTGACAAAAATTCCTAAACCTCACCTAAGTACATCCTTAACAAAAATATTAAACATCACAACAGACCAGACCAATCACCAGGGATCTACATGAACTGTTTCATGATGGGGAACAGACATTGTTAAATTGTCTTTCGCCATCGTAAATAAATCCCTGCCATCGTTCCACTGACATTAAATAATTGCAAAAATATGAACCTGGTTAAAAGTGTAATAAAAATTTGTTCCTTATGCTAGCCGCCACCGTTTTTGTTAGCAATAATACTCAACTACCCTGTAATTGCACATCCCCTATTGTATTATAATCAAAAGGGTCCTCATAATTACTGTTTTAAAGCTCTGCAGGATATCCCACTAATGATGGTTAATTACTTTGACATGTAGACATACATTTACCTTACAGCTAGGAGAAAACATTGATAAAGTTCAGAAGAATAGCTGCATTATTAAAATAATGTTAACAAATGCTAATGAAGATTAAAATTGAAAAATAAAATATAATTATGAAGAACAAAGGTTTTACAAGTCAAACATATGGTTTTACTGACTTACGTTATCTGCACCCACATTTTAAACGAGTACAAAATTATATTCTTAATCGTAAAATCATGGTAAAATGGACAGCAATTTCATGCCAAAAAAACACAAGTACAACAATTATCAATCAAATTGAATAACTTTACAAGAGTAAAAAGCAAATACACAAACACTAACCGCCATTTTAAAATCTAAAGAAATTTTGTTTTGTAATTCCAAATTAATTTTGTGGTTTACAATCAATTTAAAACATCTGCTTTACATTTAGAATCGAAAGATTGCAATTTTAGTCATTAACTCTATTTCAGTATTAAACTATTGCCTGCCACAAATATTTATCCAACGCTTTACAAAAAAGGGTACAAAACTTCTTGTTGTTGGTGCTGCAAATCGCTGATACAAATTTGTGACTTCTGATTTGAATTTGACAGTGATTCTGATTTTTCAAGTCCTAACGAGGAAAAATCAAAAACCTGCTGATAGGAAGAGCCTTACTGTATCAGGTTTAGTGGGGTAGAGTAAAGTAGCAAGATGGTGGATAATTTGTAGTAAAATGAAATGACAAATGGGCTCCTTCAATTTAAGACTACTTGTATAATACTTCTGGTAAAGTAACAAAACGAAAAAAAAAAACAGATTTGGCTATACTTAAGGTCCTTTTTGGTTTGATCTGCTCTTCAACAGTTGTTAGATTTTGGATATTTAAATATTTTGGCCTCAAACATCACTGAAGAGATGTGAATTGTGATAATGCGCATCTGGTGCATTAAATTTTGTACCATTTATTTTATTTCATGACTGCTTTCTTGAATAACCCAAGTTTATCAAATTGAAAAATGAGCTTTGTTGAGCTCATGTTTCACCCAGAACTTTTTTACCTATGGAATTATGTCAAGAATTACATCTTCATTGACTTCAAATTATCTGTTTTCCAGGTTGAGAAGAGCTGGGAACAGTATATCTAACGGGAAAAGAATCTGATAGGCTTTTCGGTATAAAATTGATAAAATCTCGGACTCCACGAGACTTCGCGAGATTTATGGATTTTGGTGGCGTCTGACTGAAAAACAGTATCGGAACTGCTCAATAAATTAACCACATAATTCTAATCATAAATAAATACAAGTTTTATCATAAAGTAGATACATTTTGTCATATAAAATTACCAAAATAAGTGTGATTTATTTGATGTGAAGTGTTTTATAATGTTTTTGAATTTGGGAAGGCAATCGGCGCCATTTTTTTATTACCCTGTTTGCATTCTGTACCATTCTGTGATAAAATGAATGCGATTGTAACAAATTTGAAGTGACAGAATACAAGTTTGATACACTGGCATCACTGTAAAACTAGTTTGAATGACATTTTATTGATATTATCAGAAATTATTAGGATAATAGCGAGTACGTTTTTAACACATGTCCGTTTCCGTATCGTATCTTTGTTACCTATGACCTGACGATAAAATCAGTTACAATTAGGCAGTGTCAAGTCCCGTCAATATATATGTTCCTGAGAAGAGTTACTCCCCAGTAAACAAACAAGACTGGTGCATATTGGTTTCAGTGTAAATGCTGAGTAAGAGACCAAGGAGAAATGGTACTTATTTTTTCGGGGGAAACTTTAATGAGGGATAAGACTTGTGAGTGTTTGTAAATTTGAATCGTTTGACAACACTGTCAAATCTACACTGTAGACTACAGTACAAACCGGCTTTTCGTGTTTAGCACTTAACTTACACTTTATCTGTGAGTTCTCGTATCTTCCACATTTTGTTTGTTAGATTATATCTCTCTTGTTTGAGAAATAACTCTTTGGGGCCTTCAGGTTCTTTAATAAACAAGATTTTCTCTCTTATCAAAACATGGGAACTTGCAATCGTAAACACAAAATGGCGACGTCACGTGACTTTGGTGTAAAAATATAGGCGTGTCACTTTCCCGGTACGAGTCGACGTGTAAACGACTTTTGTTCCGGGTTTAAAAAGTTCCGTGTAATAAATATTCTAGATTTATTACAAATTGTTAATATCACAAATTAATGTTTATTAAGAAAACGTGTCCTTAAATGTCATGCACAATATTTTATAAAGAACGAAGTAGAACGCCCTATACATATTTGGTGGAATTTTGGATGATAATAACTGGGACTATTATAGTATAGTAGTCCTAGATTATACTAGTATATAAATAGTCCCAGTTATCTATTTGCCATATAATAATAATAATAATAATAATAATACTAATAATCAATAATAATAATAATAATAATAACCAATAATAATGATAAAATAATAATAATAATAATAATAATAATAATAATAATAATAATAATAATGATGATGATGATAATGATGATGATGATAATAATAATAATAATAATAATAATAATAATAATAATAATAATAATAATAATAATAATATCATGAATAATAATAATGATAATAATAAATAATAATAATGATAATAATAAATATTAATATAATAATAATACGCAGAAGACATGATTAAATATAGTTTGAAATCGGTCACTAATGTAAGGTTTGAATTTGTAAAAATCATTTTTTTACTGCCAACTATATAATCTAAATATATAGAAATAAGATGATGTGGTATGAGTGCCAATGAGACAACTCTCCATCCAAGTCACAATGTGTAAAAAGTAAATAATTATGGTCAAAGTACGGCCTTCAACACGGAGCCTTGGCTCACACGGAACAGCAAGCTATAAAGGGCCCCAAAATTACTAGTGTAAAACAATTCAAACAGGAAAACCAACGGTCTAATCTATATAAAAAACGAGAAACTAGAAACACTTAAGAACCACATCAACAAACCAGAGGCGGATGTAAAGGGGGACAGGGGGCAGGGGGCAGGGCCCCCCTTTTGTGGGAAAATTTTGGTTGATTATTTAGGGAATCACTGAAGCATGACTGGAGCGGGCCCCCTCTTAGGCAGTCAGTGGGCCCCCCTTATGAAAATTTCTGGATCCACCACTGCAAACGACAACCACCGAAACAGGTTCCTGACTTAGGACAGGTGCAAACAAATGCAGCGGGTTGAAATATGCTTTTATTATTACAAATATTTATCAAGTGGTAAGTTTTGTTTTTTTTTCAGTACGAAACTTTACCATAAATCGGGAATCAGAATAGTAAAGGAATAAGTACCGAGGATTAAAATCACTCTAAAATAAGAGAGACACAGCTAGCGAAATTCTTTAATTGAATACGATTGTGTGGTAGTGTAGTATAACGGAGAGTGAAATCACAATTGTAAGAAGATGCTTATCAAAGAAATCTAGCAACTGTTAACATAGTTATGTAAAAAGAAATAATACATGTACAAACATAAGGCAACCATAGGACACACCAAGAGCCGATTAGTTTATATCTTTATTTTGATAGGGAATAATGTTTCTATATATATGATCATATATAATGTATATAGTTGGAAGGGACCGTATAATTGACATAAAACGTATAAATCGAAAGCATTGATATATCAAGACGTCACCGTGAGGGTTTGGAACTCCCTCTACTTCATTTTTTTCAAATCACTTCACTATTGACGAAAGTAGGCCGTAACCCCCTTGACCCCCTTTGCCAGATGGAACCCGCGTGCACCGTTTTAAAAAAAATTGAAAAACCTTCCGGAAAGATGAAAAGTCAAAAAAGAACAAGTAACAGAATTTATCTCAAGATAATATATAATTATATATTACTGTAAATATGTAATAATATACACATAAAGGGCGACCACGTTTATCAAAAACGATTTGAGAATTGTGATGATTTTAATGAAAATAAAGTTTAGCGCATTGAAGATGGAACATGATGAATAATATTGTATTTGCTCCACATATTTTAGTATTATTTGTTATAGGCCAATCTGTCCGTCCGACTATCTGTTAGATAAACTTGTCATAGAACGATTCTTTCATTTTTTGATACTTATATCTATCATTTACCAACATGACCAATGTGCACTAAGGTTTTTGAATATTTTTAATTTTGACCAAGAGGTCGAAGTTTTAAACCTAAAATCAAGACAAATAGTAATAGGTCTGGGACTCAGATTTTATTTTACAATAATCTAAAGTTCAAACATCATTTTAGTTATGAATTATTTTTCTTTGGTATGCAGTTTTATTTGATAATATTGCTGTACGTAAATTACTATCTCTGCTCATAAGATACAAAAATTGTTGGTCGTTTACAAAATATTCCAAGAAAGGAGACAATTTGCCCAAAAATTGCGATGAGCAAGAATTATTTATTTATTACGGGGTGAAAACAGTAAGGTCCTAAATGCAGTTGAAAAATTCCTTAAAATACTTTTATAGATTTATTGAATTTTAAAGTATTGTATATGCCTCGGAAAATGTCTCAGTTTTAATGTTTATGAAGTAGATATGGTAAGTGGTCCGTGTAATACCTAACAATTCAAAATTTTAAAAAGTTTTCAAATTTTCGTATTTTGGATTTTTTATAAAAATTTTAAATATCAATATTCCAATTTTTTTAAATTTTTTTAAATTTTGAAAATTTCACAAAATAATTTAAATTTTAAAGGATTAAATTCGTTTTCAAATTTGATAGTTTAGATATTTAATCAAACTTTGAAAATACTAAACTTAACGTGCAGTTTTGATCATTTCGTTTATTGAAAGTTTGTCTTTTTTGATTTTTGATTAAAAAATTAAAAATAGAAAACGGGCGAAAATAGAACTTCTGTTTCATTATCATGTTTGGGTAACCTGTAAAGTGCGAAACGGAATAAAAATGGAACGGAAAGAAACAAAACGAAACGAAATATGACGAAACGAAAGGAAACGAACATTTAATTAAGAGTAAGTGTAAAAAAAAAAGAGACAGACTGATCTAAGCAGAGAAAATTGAATACAAAAATTAATATTTGTCCAAAGCTGAGATTTAATTTTAGAATAATAATCACTTTGATTATGATCTTCTTAAGTAGGAATAAAAAGATCAACACGAATTTAATCATTTTTTATTCCGAAAAATAATTTAAAGAAGAGGCTATATTTCTTTAAACAAATCAGACTTCACATGAGATATCAGTATCCTGAAATTTATAAGGTTTTGCATCTATTGAAAAAAAACACAATTTCAAAACCTATTCAAAGCTGCATTGAACAGATTAATTTTACTTATAATAAAAATCTGTAACAGAAGCTAAGCGTTTCAGAGAATTCATTCAGAACTATTTGGTTTTCACAATTAATAAAAAAAAATAAGAGCGAATGTCGTAATGGACAGAATGAATTCTATGTTGAATAGTTTACTCCCTTTTCACTATTGTGACTGTTCTACACTTTTGCCAAAACTTCACTTGCTTGATTAAGCGCCCATCAGTTAGGAGTAGGAGTTACAGTGAAACTGACCTACTCGCAGTAAGCCGAATCAATGGCGTAGCTTACGTTGAGGCAACCGAGGCAGTTGCCTCGGTGAAAAAAAAACAAAAAACTTTTATTATCTTATTCTTTTAAACAATTTCGACCTGAAGCAGCAGACTCGCTACTAAACGCTTATTATAAACCGACTTGTATAATACTATCAGACGGCTTGTTGTCGGTATTGATTCGTAGACGGATAGACGGTATCCTTTGCGAATTCAAGACTTATTCAAAATTATTTCATTTTTCCTTAGATGCTGTTCTTGGACCTGTACAGGAAGTTTTATCTAGCACTAATTGTATAGTTTTATTGTTGATATTCACCCCATATGTACCAAGTGTTAGATTAGTTTTATTGATATTAAAGAAATTTCTTGGTATTCCTAAACGGAAGATTTTATGCACACAGAAGAAGAAGTATACTTAACAACAAAATTATTTTCATTTACCTGTGTATAATATGACGCAGGTTTCTTCAAAAGTGATGATTTTCTAAAAATTGTTTGACATTTCACAGTGATATCATACTTTAACTTTGTTTAAACCTGTTTATTTACTTTTGACTTTAATTATTTATCCCTTGTAATTTTTTATTAACTGTGTATTTGCATTCAGGTGTCACAGGTCAAATTTATTCGTCCATTGTGTGTTAATTTACGTTTTTTGATTGAGTTCAGCCTTCCAATTGATATTTTTTCTATGTTGTGATGTTATACTATTGTTTCAGAAAAGGGAGAAAGTTTGGTACCATTAAAACGTTTAATCCCGCTGCAAATGTTTGCACCTGTCCTAAGTCAAGAATCTGATTACAGTAGTTGTCGTCTGTTTATGTAGTTCATACGTGTTTCTCGTTTCTCGTTTTTATATAGATTAGACCGTTGGTTTTTCCGTTTGAATGGTTTTACACTAGTATTTTTTTGGGGCCCTTTATAGCTTGCTGTTCGGTGTGAGCCAATGCTCCGTGTTGAAGGCCGTACCTTGACCTATAATGGTTTACTTTTATAAATTGTAACTTGGATGGAGAGTTGTCTCATTGGCACTCATGCCACATCTTCCTTTAACTATTTATTGAAACATTTCCCTCCCCTTATTGGAAATCCCCTTTGCGGTGGAATATGTCCGAGTCAAAGAAATCGACACAATTGAAGCTTACAGATTTATTTAACCATACTCCAAGCAAAATCAGTAGAATAGATCCTGATGATGATCCAACTCACGAGACTTCTCCGGTCGAATCACTTGCCCATTCAGGTAAAACATTCAAATTATTAATTTTGTGTGAAATTATTGAAATTTCTAGTAAATGAGGGTCTGGATGAGGTTAATAGACTTGCAAGAAATGTAAAGTTAAAAGAACAGAAATTTAGAATGGTGCCAAAATAGAAAAGGAAAATAAAATTATGGGCAAAAAGAATTACAAATGAATGCTCAAACCCTCATATAACCGGCAGTATGTAGTACTAACATATACAATTGAAACATCGTTGTGTGTTA